GGCGCACGTTTCGTCTCTGTTAAAGCGGACATTGGCAGGGCGCTTGATTGTCATTTTGAGGAGAAAGACAAAGGAGGCCGCGACCATGGTGGCAAAGTAGGTAGGCAGCCCCTGGAAATGCATCTGCAAGTCGGGATTCACGACAAGAGACCGCAGCAGCGAGTGGCCCGTGTAAACGGCCGCATCGGCAAACTCTTCCATGTCCTGGGGCACCGCCGACGTGCGCGTCACGCCACGGAAGGCGTGTGTGCACAGATACAGCTTGGCAAAGTACGCGTGCAGGCCGACGTCGATGGATTTGGTGTCGGCGTCGGCCGGCAATTTGTCGTAGGCATCGATGCGCCACGACTCCAGGGCCACGCCCAGCCTGCGGAACTCGGACATTTGGTGGGCCGGGATCGCCATGTCCGTATTGACGCCAAAGGTATCGTACACGCGGCTCAGAACAGACCATAGCTCGACCTGCGCGACCAAACGAAAGTCGTCCGGGGTGTTGGCATGCTCCATGCCATGAAAGGCACGCGGCGCAATCAGTGCTGTGAACTCGCGTGTCATGGGTGCTCGACCATACGCGATACTGAAGTGGTGGTCGCAGACGTAGACGATAAGATACAGGCGTGTGCGTACGTAGCAGGAGATGCGGTCGGCCATTGGCTTGTCGAAGCAGGTATGCTTGGCCTTGGAGACACCTCGATGGAGATTCATCTCGATGGCAATGCGGGCGGATGTTGCTGCCAGGGTCCACGACATGTCACTGAGCCAGAAAGCACCAATGCAGAGCCCGCGGACGTCATCGAGTGTATGGTTTCGGGATATAGACTGTGCGGCAAACTCGCGCACAAACTCGTCGTAGCTCGCAGCGTATCCGGGGCTGCTCGAATGCAGAGCGGCAACAGCACAGACGGCGGCCGTCAACAGGCTGGATCCTGCACGTATACTTGACAAGGTGTCGTGGTCGGCGAGGATGCCGTAAACGTAGTGATCCAGCTTTTTGTACACCTCAAAAAACTGCTCAGCCATGTCAAGAGCGATTGCACCGCGGGAAATCAAGTCGTTCTGGCGGCCGCTTTCCGACAACTGCCCAGATGGAGATGTGTCTGGTACTTGAGACACGCAGCTGGCGGGCATCGCAGCCGGGTTGAGTCGTGCATCCATGACGACCTCCCAGCCGGGCTGGTGTCGGGCAGCATTGTCTGCACCTGCGTCGGTATCTGAATTGCTATGTGTCTCGCCATGTGCTCCACTGTGAAGCTCGTAGAGCGTTGCAGATGATGTTGATGGGGCCGTCGGGGTGGCCTCGGGGCCCGTGGATGCAGGAGCATGGTTGGTGGCGGTGGCGTTGCTGATATTGGCGATCTGTTCTTCCATAAGCTGCAGCTTCTGTTCGATGGATCGTTTCCATCTACAGTTGAAAGTTAGATGAGTCCATGACCAGCAGCGCTGCGGAGCGCCTGTACTCACGTAACGTCATTCTCGAGCAGCATCTGTAGGCTGTGGTTGACCGTGCACGTGAGGTCGCGTCGCTTGCAGCGTGTGCACGGCGGTCTGGAATCTTGCATATGGCATTTGATCTTGAGCTTGCGGCACGCGACACAGGCCGTGATCTTGCGGCTGATCTCCGGCGGTTTGCGGTCGCCAAAGAACTCGCGGAGGGCGAGCGCCGAAGCTGTCGGCGATGACGGCGTGGGTATCGACATGATGGCGGGTGTGATGTGAGGAGAAACGAACGTCGGCCGACTTGTTTTGCGTCTCGGCGAAAGTGCCTTGTCGTTTGTGCAGAGGTTGGCAGGTCGGGACTCAATAAAGGAAACCGCGGACTTTGTGCCGCAGTGCTTTGGTCTTGACTGAACAGTGAGCTAAAACGCGGCACAAAGTCCGACCTCGCCAGCAATGACTCGCCCTGGCCTTTTCGTGGTGGTACATTACGGAAGCATAGTATACTCTAGTGTCAACAAGTACTTTTTTAGCAGCTCTCGTCTACTTTCACAAACAACGGTCGAAGACTATAATTATGTTTATTGTTCCGCACTAACGCTGTTTATTATACCAGGATGCAAAGGAAACAACAACCAAAGAACAGGTATTGTACCAATATCCTCGGTTCGACATGGCAATTGATGGCTTCGGCGGCTTTGGCAACTTGCCTGCAGGGGCATCGGACGCTATCAAGCCCTGGAAAGTGCACATTCCCCAGGCGTCTCTGGACAACCTAAAGGCACTGCTCAAAGTGACACCTCTGGCGCCGCAAACCTACGAGAACTCCCTCCCCAACAAGCAACGCACGCTCGGCGTTCGTCACGACTGGATCTCGGCCACAAAGCAGCACTGGGAGACAGACTTTGACTGGCGCGTACAAGAAGCGTACATCAATTCCTTTCCGCACTTTCGGGCCCAGATCGAGGACGGCGAGCTCGGCCATTTCGACCTCCACTTTGTCGGCCTCTTCTCACAACGAAGCGATGCCATCCCGATCCTGCTGCTGCACGGCTGGCCGGGCTGCTTTGTCGAGTTTCTGGACATCCTCGACCGGGTGCGGGCGCGGTACCAACCCGACACGCTGCCCTACCACCTGGTCGTGCCCAGTCTCCCGGGCTACACGCTCTCGTCACCACCGCCCATCGACAAGAACATTGACTCGGACGGCGCGGCGCGGATCCTGCACGGCCTGACGGTCGAGCTTGGCTTTGACAAGTACATGATCCAGGGCGGCGATCTCGGCGGGCGCATCGGGCGCGTTGTGGCGGCCAACTATGCGGCGTGCAAGGCCATCCACCTCAATACGGGGCCAATGCCGCCGCCCGAGCCGGCTACCCTGGCAAGCGAGATTACCGAGACCGAGCAGGCGGGCTTGGATCGACACGCTGCGTTCAAGGAAACGGGCAGTGCCTATGCCTATGCCCACGCGACACGGCCCGCCACAATGGGAATTGTGCTCTCGAGCAGCCCGGTGGCCCTCTTGGCCTGGATCGGCGAAAAATACATGGACTGGACGGACGCGGATCCACCCGTCGACGACATTCTGACGTGCATCACGCTGTACTGGGTGACCAACTGTGCGGCCACGAGTCTGTGGTCGTACCGGCAGTTTTACGGCCCCGGCGCAGAGAGCCACGGCACGAAGCGGTGGCACATTCACAAGCCGCTGGGCTTCTCGTGGTTCCCAAACGAAATCACGCCCGTGCCCAAGGCGTGGGTCGAGACGACGGGGCAGCTGGTCTTCTACCGCCAGCACGACAGGGGCGGCCACTTTGCGGCGTTTGAGCAGCCAGACAGATTGTGGCAGGACGTGGAGGACTTTATTGCTATTGTCAAGGACGAGTTCAGGCCGTCGGCCACTTGAAACACACACCGTCTATCGGATTCTGTACGCATCATAAATGACTTTCACACCCAAACGCGCGCCCGACGCCACCCACATGCCCGTGCACAAGTGCGTGTACCGCGGATCGCCCGTCTCCAAATGCACATACAGCCGGAACGAGTATGCGTCTGGTGGGACGCCGTCCGCCTGTGCCGGGTCGAATAGTTTGGCCAGCACGTCCGGGTCGCCCGTGCGCCAGCCCTCGGTGTGCACGGTAATGTACGCCGGCTCGGCATCGCTCGTCTTCATGAGATAGTTCGTATCGATGTTGGTGCTGAGCTCGGGCGTCACCACCTGGTTGTCCTGGCCACCGGGGACAACGGTGCCGGAGCCCCAGCGGCCGGCAAACCAGCCGTTGCCAATGCCGATCCAGTTGCGTTGTCCACCCGTTGGGGTCGGACCGATGGGGATGCGCTCGTCGAGGTTGCAGACGAGGCGGAAGTCGGGCTGGAGAGTCGGGACAGGCAGCGGGAAGGCCTGCGGTGTGAAGTCGGCCGGAAGGCCGTCGGTTGGGAAAGAGTTGTTCGACATGATGCGAGAGGTGCGTGGTTGCGGTTGTCCTGGACTGGCTGAAGACAGAATTGAAGTGGTGATGGAAACTGTTATATACGCAGACGCTGACGGAGAAGAAGAGGGGTTGCTGTTAGTGGCAGTTGCCGTGAGCATCGGAACATTGGATCCTGAGGAGCGAACGGCATTTTCTACAAAGTCCCACTCCAAGACAAACACTGCTGTTCTGATTTGGAACGTATAATCTGTTTTAATTTCAGCTTGCTCTGGAACCATCCCAGGAACTTGACGCTGCAACGGATCATGGTATAAAATGCTCCGGCAAATGCGGTGATCTCCATTTGGCGATGCTCACAAATGTTCTGCTGGATTGCTTTTTTAACATAGTTTGATGCACTTTCACTTTTTCTTTTTTAAATAAGATTTATTCCAAACGAATCTGATTTCCTCCATAGTCTTTCCTATGCGCATCCCCGTATCCTGGTTGCCGTATGCGATACTCTTGGTTCGCCGCACGCAATCTCGGCAAGATACGCTGAGGTCGCCACCAGTGTACTCCGTAGTGTCGTTGGTGGTGTGGGGTAGCTGCGATTTGTCGGTGACTAACTAGCCAACTAACATCAGCGACTGCGTTGAGCTTTTGGCTGAACTTCGAAGTAGGGGCCTCAAGTTCGGGCCAGCATGGGACCTGTTCTGACCATAGCTTTCGTTCAACATAGTACTGGCTCCTGGGTCCCGGACGGACCATTCCCGTTTTGAGCCAATAAAAGTGCGGAGATGAAGCATGGCCTAGCATGATAGGTCGTCTTCAGCGAACGCTTGTCCCTATTTCGCCAGCTGCCGCCTGTAGCCCCTGCAACCCTGTTTCCCGGTCTTCCCTGGACCTTACCAGCCTATTCCTTTCCGCGCCGTCAGCATCTTCTTTTCCCATCGCCAAGTTTTGGTCTCTCCCATTCTCGCCTCACACTATATATCTTAATTCTATCTCCACTGCCACGCGAGCAGCATCTCCACCATCCCGCACTCAGCTCTGCCACGGCTCGTCCATCGCTTTTTTTTTGGTAGCAGTCGCATCACTGAATACGTTTTCTCTTCTGCGTCTCCCCCAAGTTTCCCTGCCTCCCTCCTCATGGTCGTCTCGTTTCCCCTTCGCCGTGTCCTTGCCGTGTTGGCGGCCGTTGGAACACTATTGGTGCTGGCGCGCTCCGTGTCGGGATCGTCCTGGCCGCCGCCGGGCGTCATGGCTGCCTTGGGTGAAAAAACAAAGGGGCGCCCGACAGAGGGTCATCGATACAAGTACACCGTCGTCAAGGGCGTCTTCCTGCAGAGCGAGTCCAGCACGTCCGCCGATGGCTTCGACTATGCGACGACCAACTTTGGCCTCATTTCCCGGTCGTACCCGACAGACGTGGACGCGGACGGCGAGGATGGTGGGAGTGCGGCGCAGACCCGGCCCTTGTGGCTGCGGTTCGCGCGGTACGTCGACGACCTGAACGCGGCGGCCGCCGAGACGCACTCGGGCGCCCAATACAAGGTCCTCTTCATGGGCCGCCACGGCGAGGGCGACCACAACGTCGCCGAGGCGTACTACGGCACGCCCGCCTGGAACTGCTACTGGGCGCAGCAGGACGACAACAGCAAGGACACGACGGCCACGACGCCCATTACCTGGAGCGACGCGCACCTGACGCCCGTCGGCGCCGCGCAGGCCACGCGCGCCCACGACGTCTGGGCCGAGCAGCTGGCCGTCCAGAAACAGCCGGCGCCGCAGCGCTACTACGTGAGCCCGCTGACGCGGTGCCTGCAGACGACGCAGCTGACGTTTGGTGGGCTGGCGCTGCCGGCCCACAGCCCGTTCCGGCCGACAATCAAGGAGCGGCTGCGCGAAGACGTCAGCACGCACACGTGCGACCGCCGGTCGACCAAGACGGCCATCAAAAAGGCCTTCCCCGGGTTCGTCGTCGAGCACGGCTTTGTCGAGCACGACCCCCTGTGGACGGGCACGACGGACGAGCCGCCCGAGGACCACGACATCCGCAACCAGGCCTTGCTGGACGACGTGTTTGGCAGCGACGGCAGCACCTGGATCAGCTTCACGAGCCACAGCGGTGCCATCGCCAGCCTTCTGCGCGTGCTCGGCCACCGCCCCTTTCCCCTCTCGACGGGTCAGATCATCTCGGTGCTCGTGCGTGCAGACCGTGTGGACGGCCACAAGGGTCCGGGCGCAGGCGTACCCTGGACCACCGCCGACACGTGCGCGGCCCCGCCGTGACGAGCATTGAAGGCCAGGGCTGCGTGTGCCAGCCGACCACTGCACCGGGGTCAAGCATTTGAGAGGTCGCGGGTGAGGGTCCGGATGGTAGTCAGGATGGTGATGATATTTTTGCGTCGTTTTTGCCTCGTTTTTTTGGCACGGAATCTCATACACAGGCCGACACTGCATTTCAAAAAGCCAGACTGCATAATAGGTAGACACGGAGTCGTCGTACACGAGACACGGCCGCACTAATAGATGGATACTGACGCACTTTTCCTACTTTGTTTGCTTTATTTACTTCCCTTGTCGTCGCCCTCCGCCAATAAGAGCATCCGTTCCAAATGCCGTCTGCAGGACCTCGCCGTTCGGAAATGTACTAATTGCCCGCCATTTTGCACTATTGACCGCCACGGGCCTTAGTCCGCTTTTCCTCTCCGCAGTACGACATACTTTAGCTGCTCATGGCTACGCCGTACCGCAGTTGTATTAGTGTGTCGGTAGTGTGCTTGCCCCTGGTCGAAGTAGCATTGGGTTCATCGGTGACTAACCAAAAGGCCGATAGGTAGTCTACGAGGTTGTTCATCTCGGCGTCCAAGTAGGACGTCAAGTGAAGGAGAGTGAGGATGGGAAAGGAACTGCCGGGGTCCAGACGCTGTGGTGCAATGAACGACATTGGTCTAAACAGTCAGCGGTATTCCCGTTGTTTTCCTTTCTGGTGTTGGTCAATATATGTTACAATTTTTACAGTGCTTCAATTGCGTTTATTTTTATTCCTGTTTTATTTCTAACATGTTTGAGTATATAATTTTGAAATAAATGAATCGTGTACGGGACCATGAAGATTTTACATGTTAAAACAATAAAGTATTAAAAAATAATACATTACAAGTACACCGTCTGAATTTTTGAAATATTTCGTGGCTGTCTTAATATCACGAACGAATCACCACTACGGTCAAGTAGGAACCTCGGCAAAGGACCAAAAACATGAATTATGTGCATGAATTATGTGCATGAACTAGAGAAACCGACATCCACACGAACGACGAGTTGGATGCATACCAAACATAAAGCAAACGCAAGACCATCCCATATGTACATGACGCATCGTTATCATAGCCCCCCCTCCACCCTGTCTCGTCCCGTCGACACGACCATTAGATGAAGAACGAGGCCATGTTGGAGACGAGGTACTCAAAGCTCTGCTGGCGGAAGTTGTCCGGCAGCAGGGCGGCGTGGTCGGGGAAAAAGTTCATGAGCTTCTGGCCGGCGCTCCACTGCGGCCACTGCATCTTGACGGGGGCGCCCTTGTTGGGGTCGCCGGTGGTGACAAAGTTGATGTAGTAGGTCTGGATGGCGCCGCTGGCGTAGTTGGGCAGGACGCCGTAAAAGGTCTGCAGAATGTCGGTGGCGTGGAAGGTGCCAAGGAAAGGCACGCCGTAGTCGTACGAGGCCAGGTAGGACCAGGAGGGGGTGGCGGGCTTGTTGACGCTGTCGATGAGCAGAAAGGCGCGGCGCGCGAGCGTAAAGGTCATGTCGCCGAGGAGGGCGGCGAGGCGCTTGAAGCCGGGGTACAGCTCGTTGAAGATGCTCGTGCGGAAGGGCGAGCCGGCCGTGATGTCGGTGGGGTACGTGTTGACGAGGCCCTGCACGACCTGCTGGGAGGCGTTGAAGAAGTAGTACTCGGACAGGTACTTGACGATGCGGTCGGTGCTGGTGACGTCGGTGGGGAAAATGGCAAACAGCGTGCCCTCGTCCTCCTGGTCGCCGATGATGAACGGCACGTCCGCGTACTGCCCGTTGAGGGCCAGCACGCTGGGGCTGTCGGTCAGCACGGTGCCGTCGGGGCGCGGCACGTAGGACAGGGCCAGCGAGTTGTACGAGAAGATGCCCGGCACCGACGTGGCCGCGTTCAGAAACGTCTGGTAGTCGAGGCCGCGCAGGCACGCGAGCGTGTCGGCGGCGCCGCTGCAGCCGCCGACCTTGACGACCTGGTCGTAGATGGCCTGGGCCTTGACGCCGTCGACGGGCTCGGCCGGGACGACGCTGCCGCTGTCCATGATGGCGCCGCGGAACAGCGGCTTGCCCTTGTAGGTGTGGTCGCCGCCGTACATGGCCATGTGGTCGAAGCACGAGATGGCGCCGGCCGACTCGCCCCAGATGGTCACGCGCGCCGGGTCGCCGCCAAAGGCGGCAATGTTGTCGGCGACCCACTCGAGGCCGGCGCGCTGGTCCAGCAGACCGAGGTTGGCGGCGCCGTCGGCCTTGATCTCCTTGCCGCCCAGGAAGCCGAAGCCGCCCATGCGGTAGTTGACGGCGACAAACACAAAGGGCTCGTTGATCTTGGCGGCCTGCCCCAGCAGCGAGACGCCGTCGTACATGGCGTTGGTGCCAAACTCGAAGCCGCCGCCGTAGATCCAGAAGAGCACGGGCAGCTTGGAGGTCGCGTTGGTGCCGGCGGGCCGCTGCACGTTGAGCGTCAGGCAGTCCTCGCTGGCGCCCGTGACGGTCTGGAACAGGGGCAGGTTGGTGAAGTCGCCGACCAGCTTGAAGAGGGCGTCGCCGCTGCCGGACGACATGTACATCTGCGGGCAGCTGGGGCCGATGCCCGAGCCGTCGATGGTGCCGACCTTGGTCGTGCGCTGCGGCGGCTTGAGGCGCAGGTTGCCGACGGGCGGCGCGGCAAAGGGAATGCCCCGGAACGAGTCAATGTTGAGCAGCGACACGCCGTTCACGGTGCCCTCGGGGTAGGTCACGCTGACACCGACTCCGCGTTCCTCGAGCGGCGCGGTGGGGGGAGCGACCGGGACGGGGATCGGAACAGGGGCAGCGGCTGGGGCAGCGGCTGGGTGGGAGGCCGCGTAGCCGGCCAGGCCGGCCAGCACGGCCGTCGCAAAGACAGACTTCATGATGGCAAGGGAATGGGATGTGACGAGACAAAATATGTGCCAACAAGGAGCGAAAACGGGACAGGGTCAGAGAGAACGAGGGAAGGACGGCCAGACCACAGGAGAAGACGCTGGTGGACAAGAAGCGGCGATCGTGAGAGGGCAACGGGGCGGATCTGAGACCATCTTTATAGTTTCCAGTGCTTCGACGGAGAACGGCGTATGGCATAGCATGCACCGGCTGGTTGGAATCTTGGTGTACGGGGTCGGTCGCGGGGAGGACTTTTGGTCTAGTGGACCTTCCTTGTAAGTAGTAAATAGTAAATAGTAAATATGGGGCATCTGCCCAAAAGAATAATAATTAAAAAATAAAAACTAGCAATGTAAAACAAAGACGGCAAAGGCGGCTTCAGGAGACAAGACAAAACTATCTTCAGGTGTAGAAGTGTAAAAAGACCATAGGCAACACGCGGGCATGACTCTTGCTGCGAGGAAGGGGGAGTGGGCAAAGCACATGGCCCAGAAGTGACAATGTTGTGCTTGCTACTTTTTTAATTTTTATTCATCGTTCTTGTGTGCTGCGCTTGCTTCCATTGTGGTTTGTTTGGTTTGCTGGCTTGGTTGGCTGGCGCCGGTTTGCGTTGGCTGGCGCGGACAACGCGGAGACGTTGGCCGATCATTGCCCGATTTTGCATCCCCCGGTATGCCCTCCTGCCCTCCCATTCCAGGGCCACCCACACTTTTGCAAATTGACTATGATGTTGCGTTCTTGGCGTCTCTCGTAAGGCTATGCCGGATCGCTGCGCCAAAGACCGGCGTGCAAAACGTTGGGCCGTCGTGAGGGGAAATCACAAGGAAAAGACAGCGTCGGCCGAAAATGAGACAACTCGAAGAGGAAGGAGGCAGACGAGCGACAATGTTGAGCAGAAGTGCATCGTGACGGACGATGAAAGGATCCCGACAAAAAGACCAAAGAACAAGGAACAAAAGCACCTGAAAATAGCAATCAACGCAAGGGACAAGAACATGCGCCCTGAACCGTGATCCCGGACACGTTTGACGTGTGCAGGAATGATGAAGAAGAACGGTTGGACCGAAGCTGAAAAACGGAGAAAATCTTGAGACTACCAAAAGAAATGAGACAAAGCACGCCGGTCGTGAGCAAAGAGTGGACCTCCAAAGGGGATCGTCACCGGCTACCCAGCAGACTGTGGACGCTCGCTGGCGATACTGGCTCGCTGTCTGGCTGGCTCGTTTGGTCATTTGAATTGTTGAGAAATACAAAGTACTCAGTACGCGTCGCAGGAATACCCTCTTGCGGACTGGTAGACCATCGGCGACCGGCGAAACGGCCCTGCGGCTTGTCCGGGTCTTGGAAGCAGCGTCGTGAAAGAGGGACGACAGGATGTGAGGCCAGACAAAAGGACGAAGCCAAGGACGTCGGCTCCAACATAATGCAGCACATGCAAAATACATGGTACTTCTTTTCAGGCGGTGTATCTTGCATTGAACGCCTCTGCCCTCCCTGCATTCGGCGGTCATTCCCAATCGATTTAGTATCGCTCAATCTATCACGAGTCTGCATGCTTCTTTCTTTTCCATTGCCAACGAATACAACACGCAGCGCATACAAGCCGGACTATAGAACCACAATCGTAACGTGCCCCGCGTCGACCATTTTTGTGCGTGGATGGTGGATGGTGGATGGCGTGAGGCTCGTTGGGGGTCACTGGACATAATCATAATGCGAGGGTACCACCAGATGAACCGGCGAACTGACACAACGAGAGGCTTTGCGGGGTGTTGGGCGGGAAAACCCCACGGGGCCGCCACGGGGGCACGGCACGAGCGTCGCAATATGGGGTACGACAGACGAGCGTTGGGTCTGAGCTGTGCAGTGCGATGGCGGCCTCGTGATGGAGACAATTGTGGAGTGGATGGTGTTGGGATGCAGAAGCACATGCCAAACGTGGGAGTAACTTTGCAGTCGCTTCCTGCGGGATATTCGTATTTCTTGTGTTCTTTTTTGCAAATAAAAAAAATAAAAAAATAAATGCACAACAAATAAGAAATAAAAGTATCATTACAGCGCCCATCGTATCAACATTGCTCCCAACGCCGTCAGGTCGTATACTCAATACGGTGCGCGATTCACAAAGGGCCTCATCGCCGCATGCCAAAAATCCCATGTGCCTGACCCTGACGCTCTTCCAATCGCAGAGCCTCGGCATCTGCAGTTGCATCGGGTCGTTTGTGGGAACTTGGTGGGACGGCATGACAGGGGGGCCTGCTTGGCGCTTTTCTGTGCGGGGGAGTGACAATACTGGCTCGTGGGTAGACACAAAAAGACGGGAAATATGAAAGGTCCGGAAAAACGAAAATGGAAAAGGACGGCGTGGTGACAGGGGTCTGTTAGTTGGCGGGGAAGAAATGTTGGGGTAAAAATGCATAGAAGCAAAAAGAAAGTAAGACGGCGGGGCGAGATGCGAGTAACCAGGCTCAACAGGACAATAAAATAAAACAAAAAAGTGGCTGAACAAGTGATGCCAGTCAGATATACAGAAGACGGTTAACCGATGTCGAGTTTGAACGCGGAAATGGTCGTATATTACGAAAGTACCGCAAGTACCATTGTGTTCGCCAGTCTATATGATCTGTGACGGCCAACGAAAAAGACAGGAAGCGTGCCGATTGCCTGGATCAACTCTCCTGGATCGGGCAAAGCAGGTACTTCCTTATGCTCTCCGCGGTTGCGCTTGCAAAAGTCCCATTGACCTTGTCCAACCGAGAGGGTCCCAAGCGCCCAAGAAGACGCTGTGCTGGCAACAAACTGCACAGGCATGGCCGACACGGTCTGATTCTCTCTCACGTTTTACTTGATTATCATTCTTATGTCGGCATGGCATTTGCCCGATCGTAGAGTGCACACCCGTCGTCTTTCACATGGCCGTGTCAAAGACTGCGTATCTGTCCACCCCCCGATGAAATCATCCGTCCCAGCATCTCCAGGCTGTAGCGGTCCACGTCCCACGCGCCCGTGGCGTGCAAGTCGAGGGTCGGCCACGAATAAGGCAGCATCGCGCTGGCCGGCTGGTGCGGGTCGCTGTACGTGTTGGCCGACCCCTCCGGCGTAGCCGTGGCCGTGGCTGTGGCCGTTACCGTCGCAGCAGCCCTTGTTGACGCGGCCGGCGATGTGCACGTCGCCGGCGGCTCTTGCTGGGCGGCGAGGTCCAGCAGGCTCTGGACGGCGACCAAGTCCAGCTGGGAGAACTGCGGGCGGGCCGCGTCGGCGTTGGTCACGTCGGCCGTGCGTCCCAGCGCGGTGGCACGGCGGTGGCCGCCGGACGCGTCTGCTGGCTCTGCCAAGGTGGAAGGCCACCCAGCCGCCTCGCGTCCCTCCCCTTCCTCCTGTCCCTCATGTCCCTCCCCTCCGTCCCCTCCCTCTTGTCCCTGCCCCTCTTGCATCCGTGCATCCATGATCCGCCCAATAATGTCCTCGAGAATGTCACGGTGCCGCCGCAGCCGGTGGTACCGCTCGGCAATGATAAACATGGTCGACGAGCACGCGCGCAGGTGGTGCGCCACGCGGTGGTCGAGCAGCCGGCCCAGGCGCCCGGCCGACGAGGCCCGGAACAGGCAGTAGCACATGGTGACGCCCGTCAGAAAGGTCAGGTGGGCCGAGACAAACGAGTGCCCGTAGGCGTCGCGCATGTGCATCGCGCGGAAGAGGGCGCAGACGTGGCCGGCGGCGTGCAGGCAGCGGGCCAGCAGCGGGTCGTCGGCGGGCAGGACGGACAGAAAGGGCCGCAGCAGCTGCGCGACGGCGGCGTGCCACTGGAGGCGGAGATAGACGCGCTCGGCGCACGTCAGCTGGGGCGACGCCGACGCGGCGTCCCCGTCCACGTCCAAGGACGCGCCCCAGGCGTCGACGGCGCGCAGCAGCGGCCCCAGCCGGGCGCGGCGGACGGCGTGCGGCTCGCCGAGCCCGTAGACGTCCGTCTGGATGCGCGACTCGAGGCGCTTGATCTGGATGAAGCGGCGCCACATGGGCTCGGCGTCGTCGTCGTCGGGAATGTGCGTCTCAATGTCGTTCTCGGCAATGCTAAACGGCCGCTTGAACGACAGCGCAATGAACCGGTCCAGCACATACGCGCTCCAGAAGAGACGGCGCATCGTCCGCGCCTGCGCCGGCGACAGGGCCGCGTCGTGGTACGCTGCCTCCAGGTGCATGCGCAGGTCGATGCAGGTCTGCATGGCCAGGTTGGTCAGGTACCAGATGCCCGTGTTCGTGGGCGCCCGCAGGTTGTAGAGGACGAGAAGCAGGAGGCCTTCGATGCAGAGGAGGGTCGACAGCGACTGGGCGTCCTGGACGACGGCCACGTCCCGCAGCGCCACGCCCAGGTACGTCTCGGCCTGCGCCTCGCACAGCGGGTCTGTGATCTTGAGGAGGGTCCCACCGATGGCGTAGACCATGTTGAGGCGAAACACGTCGAAGCGGCGGGCGAGGCCGGGGCTGGAGGGCGGCGGCGCGGCGTCGTGCTGCTGGGCGCGTTTGTGGAGCAAAAACAGGTGATCACGGTCGAGGAACGGGTATCGAGGATGGATCTTGGCAAAGTAGGCATCGAGCATGCGGCATCCCATGGCATCGGATGGTAGAGGCGGAAGTGGAGGGAGATGCGGAGGCGGAGGACGGTGAGGTTGCTGTTGTTGCGTTTGTATCTGTTGAGTCTCTTCAGATTGCGGCTGGAACGATGGCACCGTAAACGACAGCGGCATCTGTGCCATCTGTGGCATCTGTGGCAATGGCGACATGAGCGACATGGGTGACGGTGGCACAGGCGGCACAGGCGGCAGTGGCTGTCCTCCGTCGCCGACCGAGAACAGTCCTTTGGACCACACCGTGGCCTGCACCATCTGCTCGACGGTGGGCTGGACGCTGCCGTTCTGCTCCACGTGTTGTGGGTGTTGTCCCGTATGTCGCCCTCCTCCTCCACCCATCAGTGTGCTCGCGTCCGCATCGCCAAACAGGAGCGGCATCTCGCGGTCGACGAGAAACGGGTTGGGATCCGGGTATGGCGTGTGCTGCGGAGTTTGCGATTGCGTTTGCGGTGGCGGCTGGGGCAGTGGTGTTTGTTCTTGTCGCTGCTGCTGCTGCTGCTGCTGCTGCTGCTGCCGGACGGCTGCCAACTCGGCCAGGGCCCCTGCCAGCCGCGTCTCCAGCACCTGGATGCGCTGCACAGCCGCCGACGGAGCCGCTGCCTCGCCGTGCAGCTGGATCGCATACGCCGACGGCTCGCACGGCACGCGAGCCTCTTCACACGCGCGGCAGACGGGAAAGCCGTGGCATCGTTGTTTGCGGCGCGTGCACCGTTTGCACGACTTGCTGTGCCGCTGCTTGGCGACTTTTCCTGTCGCAGGGGATGTCGATGGAGGCATATGGTGTTATGTGGTGATGCTGTGGCGATGTTGACTGTCGATGCGGACTGTTGATCCATCGTCGAGTCGTGTCGTGCCGTGTCTTAGACCGAATGCATTACCCCAGTCTCGCCATGGGAAACAATTTCCGAATGCCGAATGCCCACAGATGGGATGTGCAATGTCCTGAAGGACCATATGATGCCAAAGAGGAAGGATTCGGAAATCCGACAATGAAAGCGGGGAATCAACACTAGCTGTGTTAGTGGTATTCTGTCGGAAAGCCGATGTGATGCTAGCGTCTTCCACGGAAGTCATCAGTCGGCGAGAAAACACTACGGGAATAAGAAGGACGGTAGCAGAGACTGGTATGTTTATTGAAATGAACTCTGCGGTGCTCTGTTGTGCAAGTCACGTATATGCAGTGCCAATATCACTTGTAGCCATAAACACACGTGTAAAACACGTGATGATATATTCACAGAGGCATCTAACCATCACAGCCAACAGCACAACAGCAACACTAAATGGCCGTCGAGTACGACTGCCCGCCCACCTTGCGGTCAAACTCCACCCGCTCGTCCATGCCCATGGCCTGGAACAGCACCTTGGGGCCCTGGTGCTTGCGCGACTCGGGGATCCGCTGCCGCCCCGTCTCCTTGAGGTACTTGAGCTGCGCCTGCGCCGCCTCCATCACGACGCTCAACACCGCCGACGGGTAGATGATGATGCGGAAGCCCAGCTGGCGCGCCTCGTCCACGCTGACCTCGGGCGTCACGCCGCCGGACACCATGTTGAGCAGCACCGGCATGCCCGTGTCGCGGAGGTCGCCGCAGACGCGCGCGAGCTGCTCCTTCGTCACGATGCCCTCGAGGAACGCCACCTCGGCGCCGGCCTCACCCGCCCGCCGCAGCCGCGCCACCGCCGCCTCGTAGCCCAGCGCCTGCAGGCTGTCCGTGCGCGCTATGATGATCATGTCCTGGCCCGTCTGGGCGCGCAGGGCGTCGCGCGTGGCCGCAGCCGCGCGCAGCCGCCGCAGGTACACGTCCTCGTCCACGAGCTCCTTGCTGCCCAGGTGGCCGCAGCGCTTGTTGAGCGGCTGGTCCTCGAGGTGCATCGCGGCCACGCCCGCCGCCATGTACGCGCGCACCGTGCGCGCCACCGCCAGCGACTCGCCAAAGCCCGTGTCGGCGTCGGCAATGACGGGCACCGTCGGGTCGAGGCCCGCAATCATGCCGGCGTTGGTCGCCATGTCCGTCATGTTGGTGATGCCGAGGTCCGGCATGCCGAGCACCGACGCCGCCGTGCCCGCGCCCGTCATGTACAGGCACCGGAAGCCCTCGTTCAGCGCCAGCCGCGCCGAGATGCCGTCGTAGACACCCACCGCCGTCACAATGTGGTCCGGCTGCGCGAGCATCTGCCGCAGACGCGCGCACGCCGACATGGGCTCGTTGGCGTTGGATCCCATGGTGGACGATTCGATGGAAGGGGGCGTATGTCGAGTGTGGAGGAAACGAAGTGTGAAGGCAATCCTGTTGGAGGTGTGAAAGGGATGCAGAGCACTCAGTGTCACGAAATGCCACGAAATGCCACGGAAAAGCCAAGAAACATCTTCGCATTATATACAGAGTATCTCAATCTGAAATCAATCATTGTCGTCTTGTTAAAGTCGTCTTTTTGTCCGTTCTCGGCGTCCTTCGTTCGCGTGGTCGACACGGACCCGAGTCGGCGCTTTCGCCCCTTGCCACCAGCCTCACAATCACTTCATCGGCTTTCCGACGGCTTCCCGACGGCTTCCTAACAAATGTCAGCCTACCCCAGACTGGCTCCGCCTTCTCCTCATTTCCCCTGCTTCGCCTAGCTGACAACCGACGCTAGTGATTGTCCCCTTTGCAAGGTCCGGTTTCTTGTTTTTCTTTGTCCATCGAATTCCGAAGCGACTACGAACCATCCATGCACTGTCGTCTCGTACCATCCCCAGACGGCCCAGACGGCCGCCCACGACTCTGCCAGGAGTGCGTCTGACTCGGGTCCCCTTGCAATCCCATTTGCCTTTGCCTCTGGTTATCGTCCCACTTGCAGCCGACACGCATACCCCATGGGGATCCCCTGTGCCATCGCGCCGGTTAACCTGCATCGCTATAAGTAGGTGACAGTCCCACGAGACGATCGTCGTCTATTGTTTATCTGCCTGTCTGTTCGCCTTTTGGTGCCCATTGCTATCCCTCGTTCATCCCTCCATTGTCCGTCTCCGCAATGAAGTACCTCACCAATCCCTTTGCCGTCCCAGAGAGCAGCGGCCTCCCACGTGAGGTCTTTGGCTGGCGGCCCTATCTCGTGACGTTTTCCGCATCCTGGGTGAGTCGCGCCATCCTGACATACTGAGCTTCAATTCAGCCATTCTCTACCAACCATTCTCCATCCTGACACACCCAAGGCCGCCGCTTGCTATGGCTACGATGGAGGCTTCATCGGCGGCACACTGGCCCTGCCGTCGTTCCAGCACGCCTTTGGCCTGGACGACGCCGCCTCCGCCAAGGCGCTCGCCGGCCTCAAGTCCAACATTGTCACCACCTTCCAGGCGGGCGCCTTCTTTGGCGCCATCGTTGGCTACTTTGCCGGCGCCGTGCTCGGCGTCGGCCGCAAACCGGCCCTCCTGGCCGCCATGGCCACCATGGTCGTCGGCAGCATCCTGGAGCTGTTTGCGCACGTCGCCATGCTGTACACGGGCCGCGCCCTGACCGGCCTCGCCGTCGGCAGCGCCATGCTCGTGCTGCCCATCTACATTGCCGAGATCGCGCCCAACGCCATCCGCGGCCGCCTGGTCGCCATCTTTGAAATCATGGTCCAGGTCTTTCTGGTGCTCGGCTTCTGGGTCAACTACGGCGTCGTGCGCAACCTGCCGGGCGAGAACAGCAGCGCCCAGTGGCGCATCCCCTTTGCCCTGCAGTTCATCCCCTCCGTGCTCTGCATCGTCAGCGTCCCCTTCATGATTGAGTCGCCGCGCTGGCTGCTCACGCGGGGCCGCGTCGACGAGGCGCGCGCGGCGCTGGCCTGGGTGCGCCACCTGCCGGACGACCACGCGCTCGTGCAGGCCGAGCTGGCCGACGCGCAGGCCAGCATCGCCGTGGAGCAGGAGCTCGACGATGGGATGGGGGTGGGGAACAGCAGCGGACGGCCCCCCACAGGCGTCGTCCGCGAACACCGCCGCTTGTGGCGCGAGCTCGCGGCTCCCGGCGTGCGCAACCGCGTCCTGCTGTCGGTCGCCCTCATGATGCTGCAGCAGCTGACGGGCATCAACGCCGTCAACTACTTCAGCCCCATCATCTTCCAGGAGCTCGGCTACTCGACCACCGAAGTCGCGCTGCTCGCCACGGGCGTCTACGGCATCGTCAAGATGGTCAGCAGCGTCCTGTTTTCCTTTTTCATCGTCGACCGCTTCGGCCGCCGCCCTCCCATGCTCGTCGGCGCCGTCGTCATGGCCGTCTGCATGTTTTATGTCGGCGCCTTTGCCAAGATTGTTGGCAGCAACCCGGCCACCGCCCAGGTCGGCGGTGGCAGCCCCGGCGGCCAGGCCGCGCTCGCTATGATCTACATCTACATCATCGCCAACAGCGCCAGCTGGACCTCCATCCCCTGGATCTTTGCCGCCGAGGTCTTTCCCACGCGCGTCCGCAGCTTCGCCATGATGTTCCCCACCTGCACCCAGTACCTCGGCCAGTTTGTCGTCGTCTACAGCCTGCCCTACATGGTCAACAGCATCCAGTACGGCACCTACCTCTTCTACGCCGCCTGGATCGTCGTCGGCTTTGTCTTTACCTACTTCTTCGTGCCCGAGACCAAGGGCGTCACGCTCGAAGACATGGACCTGCTGTTCGACGCAGGGGCGCCGGTCTGGGCGCGGGCCGCCCGTCGCCGCTACGAGACGGCGCATGCAGCGGGCGTGACGGCGGTCGCGGTGCATCGGTTGGAGACGGACGGGAAGGAGGTGCAAGTGGGCGGTGTCGAGCAGATTGAGGAGGTGTAGGTAGCGCGCGAGTGGATAGACGAGAAATGAAACGTAAAGATGAAAATCAAAGTTGCCTGTACCAACCGCAGACGAATCCCTTTTGTAAGAGAATGTAAAAACATGCGGGGGGTGGATGAAGGCATCGGATGACTGAGAAGCGAAGGAAGCTGGAAGGGAAAGGCATGTCGAACCACGCCGTCATCACACCACATCCCTGACGGTGACAAATCATGGAGCAAACAAGAGAAGAGCAGAGCATTTAGGAACGTGTAGATGTGAAAGCGTTTGTGGCTGTGGCGTCCGGGTGCCCCTTTCTGTTCCCGGAACGACCTTTGACCAACGACCTTTGACCTGATGCGGACACTACCGGAACGGATCAGGTTAATCATAATGGAAGGCAGTGGAGCCCCTTGGCCTGCAAGTTTTCATCAGATGGTAAAGTTATCTTGCTATTATGATCTATGAGAATCAGATTAATACAAAGGGAGAAGACAATTAAAGAGGAGTCGACTAAAAGTGAAACAAGTTGAAATTAAAAAACGATCATGATGACCAATAATGAGATGAGAGGAACAATAACCGCGGCAGAAGCCTGTCGAGTTGGGCGACGTCGGGATGACATCCGAATGCCTCTACGCAGCACCGCCCACGGCTTCCGGGTTTTGGTTGACGCGCTTCCAGGTGGCAGCCAGGCCGAACAGCGTCGCCACGCCCGAGCCGACAATCGACAGGGCGAACGCCCGTTGGATGCCTAGCGCGTACGACTCCAGCACACCGTCGAGGTGGGGGCCCGCAAAGACGGTGCGCAGCTGCGTGTTGCCCGTGTTGATGACGACGGCCGGGTTGAGGTCGGGCGCCAGCACGGCCAGCCGGCGGACCATGGTGTTGACAAAGGCGGACTGGGCGGACGAGACGTAAAAGGCGCCGCCGACGGTCTGGAAGCAGAGCACAATGGCCGTGGTGGCGGCCATGTCGTCGGCGGTGGTCATGCTCTGCGCGTAGATGATGGGCAGCTGGAAGGAGAAGCCGTAGCCGAGGCCCGCGAGCACCTGGTAGCCGATCCACTTGCCGGTGCCGGTGCCAATGGTCATGGTGTACAGCAGGCCCGAGGCCACGGTCGCCGGCACGGCGCCGGCGGCGATCATGGCGGCCACGCGGCCCGTCTTGGACATGAGAATGCCCGACGAGACGGTGGCGATGGTGATGGCAATGATGATGGGCAGGTTGCGCACGCCCGAGCCCGTCGGGCTGACGCCGTCGATGCTCTGGAAGTAGACGGGCAGAAAGTACACAATCAAAAAGTAGGCGCCGGCAAAGTGGAACGTGAAGAGCGACGACACCCACACGGACCGCTGGCGCAGCAGCCGCGGCGTGATCATGGCGCGCTCGCCCTGGAAGACCTGCCAGGCGGCAAAGACGAGCAGGATCACGCCAAACGCCACGAGCACGCCAATCACGCTGCCGCTGCTCCACGCCTTGGTCTGGCCGCCCCACTGGAGGCCGAGAATAAAGCAGATGATGGCGCCCATGAGCAGCGCGGCGCCGACCGGGTCCGTGTTCCAGATCTTTTCGGGCAGCGTCGCCTTCGTCGGGCGCGAGGCCGCCGGCGTGGCGAAGAAGACGAGGAACAGCAGGCCGGACACGGCACCGATGGGCAGGTTGATGTAGAAGGCCCAGCGCCAGCTGACGTGGTCGGCAAAGGCGCCGCCGATCAGCGGCGCAATCACGGACGAGATGCCGTACGCGGCGCCCACGAAGCTCGTCAGCAGCGGACGCGTGGCCGGCGGCGCCGAAAAGCCAATGATGATGTAGGCGCCGGACATGAGGCCGGAGGCGCTGAAGCCGGTAATGGCGCGGCCGACAATCAGGGCCGTGGCGTTGGGCGACGCGCCGCACAGCGCGCTGGCGGCCTCGAACAGGACCAGGGCCACGAGGTAGGTCGTCTTGAGCGGAAAGTACTTGAACATCTTGCCCCACGTGGACTGCGAGCCGCCCACGCACATAAAGTAGGCCGCGCCGTACCACGAGACCTTGTCGAGCCCGTGGAACTCGTCGGTGATCTTGGGGATCTCCGTCGCCACAATCGTCATGTCCATGGCAATCAGCAGCGTCGTCAGCATCAGCGCCACGACGATAAACACGAGCTTGATGCCTGACGGGTAGGCATCACCGTTGACGTCGACGGGCACGCCGTCCTTGTCCTTGGCGCCGTCCTTGGTGCCAGCGGCCTGGGCTGCTGCGTCCGTCTTCTCGAGGTCGAGACTCGTGGAGTCGCCACCGGCCGCGTCCTTCTTCTCATCGTAGTCGGTCGTCTCGCCGCCCCTGGTGACATTGTTCTCGTGGTCCGTGAGGTTGGCGGCCGGCGTCGGCACGCGGGTGTTGTCGCCGCTCATGATGTAGGAAGGTGGTGGCTGGTTGATGTTGTCCTGTAGGGCTTGTGTTGACGATCAAATGTCAAGATGAAGAAATAAAATGAAGCGTGGACAGAGCCGTGTAGCTAGTGGACTACGACTACTTAGTCTGTTCACAAATGTTGTCAAGGAAAGGAGTAACAGACCACAGGAAACAAGACACAACGGGAGATAAATAGTCGAGCAGTCGTGGCTTGATCTTGGTATTATATATACGCTGGGACCCATTCTGTACTTCACCCAACCGGGTCGTTTTCCTTTTTTTCCTTTCTTTCGGTACTTGTCTTCAAACCAGTGACCCCCATTCCTATTATTGACAACAGTTCTGTGAAAAGTATCAAACAACCATGTATCTACGAGTCACACTACGGAGCACGCTTTAGGCACTCAGTCATCCGGTACCTTGTATGTCCCAGACCTGATCAGCTGGGGACAGCTCTAGCACGTAGAAAAAATGAATTATAAACCACATATGGTGTATTGCAACGTACGACAATCGACGACCTGCGTGTTTTGTCTGCAAACGCGTGCTCAAATGCTGCACTGACACGCCCAACAAGGTCCATCAAGAGCCGATCGGCAGTGCAATGTGGGCCTTGATACCTTGTGAGATGGCTGCCGTTATGCTGTGACTAACGTTTGTGGCTGCTTCTGGGTCCATTTGATGTCCTGTTTGTTACTCTTCTCTCCGCCGACAACACGGCCACAGAAACAGTCCCAGAAGGGCTTCACGCAGAGTGATATTTAGGAGCGCATTCTGGTGCTGGCATTCTGGGGCATTTGTCAGAAAAGGAGAAACGGAGCAACAGAAACGAGTAAAGGAGTCAATACGAAACAAAGAAAACCATCAAAAAGACAGGGCCATAACGCAACCATCAAACGGAATCAATTGCAGCCAAACAGCTCTCCGGCACACAATCTAGAACTCAAGACCAAGCACCGGGGTGGTGTCGAGCTTTCAGAGTCAAGATTTGCAGATAGAAAGACAACGGCACCATATTCAAAAATTCAAAGCCAATGGAATTAAGGCAAGGGCCTGGGCTGGAGATTAGAGTTTATTCCGCCACGGCTGGCGGCAGAGAAGCGTTTCAGGTGGGCCCAACAGCGGTATCTTGCTGGCTATCAGGTGGGCCAAGGCACGAAATGGGTTAGCACCGAGAGCGCGGCGGACGAATGGACCAACAAAGGCATAAGTCTGTGACGAACATCAGTTATGTTCGTAAGACGATTAGAAAACAAAAATACATTGTAATTACGCCTTACGCCACTCGTAGCAAAACTACAAATTGGAGTACAGAAGCATGTAGGAACCAACGGTACTGCCCTCGCAAGGGTTGGCATAAACGAAAGGGAGAAGAAAGAAAGAAGAAAAGGGGGGGAGAAGGGAATGAGGAGGACAAGGAAAGGAAACGGGAGGTGAAAAGGCAAAGACGAGAGTGAAAGTCAAAGAGACACCTCATGTATCATGAAAGACAAAAGAAACGACAGAAGGAGCATAACAACTGCCAGGAAAAAGGTAGAAACAGGTGTTACGACTACTACCATTTACCATCTCATGCGATGCAATGTATTCCTCGGTAATCAGCTTACGTCTCGCTTGTTTTTCTCTTGCATTTTTCATAGCCCAGTCCCACCTGCTGACTCCGCAGAATCCCTGCAGTTTGATAGTCTCCTCTTCCTGTGCGCTATCTTGACGTCGTGATGGCAAATGTTTTGACTTTTGAAATGAGCAGGGCTGCCAGACAGTCCTGCAACGACCAAAACTAAGTGAATCATTGGGAAAGCATTTCCTTTTGTTATGAACACGGCATTGCATTTAATTTGTAGAGTGTCTCGTCCACAGACACTGCATCCGGATTTGGCAGATCTATAAACAAGAATGCATTGTCCTTGGTTACAATTGATCAAAAATTATGTCGGCACAAGCCGAGCCCTATCCAGCGTTGCGACTGTTCAACAAAGGCTTGCTTAAGCTTCTCAAGCTGGAGATGAGAGTGCTAGAGCTCCGGCCGGCCCAAAAGACAAACAACCAATGTCTGCAGTACGAATGAAGCATCCCATCACAGCGCAGCTCACAGGCACATCTTGTCATGCCTTCTGTCTATATTGTCTGCGTTAGGCCGCCAACTTAAGCCCACGACGTACAGACATGCAGTACATTCTGTCCACACTGTTCTTGATGGGCTCGTTTGGTTGATGTCCAGGAAACTCTCACCTCCTGTCTCATGCATCTTGCAGCGTATCAAAATAGTACCCGAGAAAAACTCATGTCCTCTGCCGGCCATGCACTGTCCATTATTATCAATCATCGGCCAAATAGACGCCGCTTTGACAACAAGATGCATCACGATGCCGGCAAGGTTGTCTCCCTGCCATCCACGACAGCACATCCTGCACAACATTGGCCCGACTTCACGTCAGCAAAAGTCAATGGAAACTGAAAAGTACAAAGCACACAGAGGAGTCGGCCTTGTCTCAGTCCGATGTCCGGGCCATGCTCGAAACCGCCTCTCGAAATACGACACTGACACTCTGTTCGCATGGCTCCTGTGGTGTGTCTGCTTTCCGTCCATCTTAGGCGTGTACCAACACAGTGTCAGACAGACAAATTTCTCCGATCCTCTCGTCGAGGGTGTAAGCCATGCACGTGACTGCGCGTCTTTCGCCCGCCACGGTCGGTCCACGGTCGCAAAAGTCCCGGCGCCAGCAGCAACCTTAAAGTTAGTGCAGAAGGACCGTCACAGTCTCGAAACATAGTAATGGCGCCCCATTCACGGGCCTCCTTTCACGCCTCTGTTCACGGCTCTGTATTTGCTGCCTTTGTGCTTGTCTTCTTCTTGTCGACACCAGCGAACCACGCTCAGCTTCTGAGCAGGTTTTCGGGCTGCAGGCAGTCCATCTGTGTGGCGGTCGAGCCACCTCATACAGCTCATTTTATCATACCACGACAACAGACATCTCGGTAGTCAAGGGGCTTCAATGAGAAACGGCCATTGGCGCGTCACACTCTACAAACATCACCAGACAAGACAAGTTTGGTTTGGCAAATGACGGTTCGGAGGCTCTGCCAGTCGGGTGTGATGGCGCGTGTTACAAGAGCATGTGCAAACGGGGCGTGAATAATTCAGAGGTCCAGAAGACAGGCCATTCACACGGTCATTGCAGAGGTAGAAAAATAAAGCCACGACGGGATATACAGATCAGTTCTTTTCAAGACTTTGCCTGTGGGGCTGACAGCGCCTGCAAATAGCGTGGATGGGTAGGTAAGCTAATGACAGTGGCTCTTTCTCATGCCACGCCCACCATGCTAAGATGACAAAGACTCGGGTGGATGACTGTCCGTTTCCGCAATATGTCCAGATTGAGCAGGAGCCAAGCACATTTCGTCCGCCGCGTTCGGCGGAAACTGCGTGTAAGTGTTTGTCACCATTCGATCCTCTGGGATCCTTGAGAGCCTTTCGGGTGCATTATGCTGGTTTTCATAGTCATCCATTTCCCTGCGATGGCTCAACTTTATTTCTCGTTACTCCTTACCCGTTTGTCAATTGCTCTCTTTTTCCTCCCTCTTCTGTTTCAATGGCTATCGTTCTTCCGCCGAGAAGAGGCATGGCAAAACACAATCTATGAATCCTCACTGTGACGCCTGGCACGGAGCAATCCAAGCAAGACAACGACGCACAACGCAAAACGCACGGTGCGCTGTCATCCACGAAAGCCGTGGTGTCCTTTGATGCCAGCCACAGACGCACCAGCCCTGTTCCATTGTACCTTCCCCTTCTGAACCTTCCCTCACACAATGCCCCCGCGACGCGCTCTTTCCTCGGACCACAGCCCTGCCACGGCTGCCCGAGCAGGCAAGAGCCACCCAGCGGCCATCGCTGCCTCGTCCGCCTCCATGTCTGCTTCAGGGTCGGCCACCGGCTCACCACCACCCCCTGCTGCCTCCAACTCACCACCGCCAACACATGCCGCCAAGCGCCGCAAGATTCGCAAGGGGACGCACAGCTGCTGGGCCTGCAAGCGCAAGAAGATCCGCTGCACGTTCTCTGCCCTCGATGGCACGCCTCTCGACCCAGACGAGATTGGCGATCCCGAGGCCTTGGCCGGTCTGGTCTGCGACGGGTGCCGCCGCCGGGGCACGCCATGTGTGAGCCAAGACCTGCCGGAGGCCACGGCGCTGTCAGCAGCCGCCAACCACAGCCGCCATGTCGATGACCGGCTGGGGCGCATGGAGGCGCTGGTGGAGATGCTCGTGCAAAACCAGCGACAGCAGCAGCAGCAACAGCAGCAGCAACAGCAACAGCTCAGCCTCAACCAACAGCAATACCAGGCCATCAAAGACAGCACAGGCCGCGGTCCAACGCATGGCACGCCGTCCACGTCCTCTACTATGACCTCGGCGGGATCCCCGACGTCCGAGCGGTCACGGCCCGTAGCATCCCGGCGCGATCGCCGACACGTGAACACAGGAGACGGCTCGGACGAAGAAGAAGGCGGGCCAGACGGCCTTGGACCACATCGACACGAGCCGCCGGCTGCACAGCGCCACGATCTCAATGTGCGGCCCCCGGCGCCCGAGACGTTGGTCAGCCTCCGCGAAAGCTTCCTCGCCCTCAACCGCACGGGGACGACAACCCCAACGGATGCCGACGAGCAGCGAACAGAGCCGACGACATACACGACCTGGTTTGGCCACGAGCGGGGGGTAGGCATGGGCGAGGAGGAGCAGCCTGGCACCATGCTACCCAAGATTGTTGGCCCGGCCACCCCGGCGTCCACCGCAAGCACATCAGCAACGCGTGTCGGCAGTGGCAGCCAAGGCGGGGCCGCTGGTGGCTCCGACGCAGACGCAGCCGATGGCGCAGAAGGCGACTCTTCCACCCAGCCGACCAACCGCCACAGCGTTGCCCACGCCGGCGACCGAGCTGGCCCGTCCCGACAACCCACAGCCGGCGCGCCTCTCCACAGCGGGTCGTCCAATGCAGACGCGCCGCCCAATGTCTCGAAACACATCATCCAGGCGGCCAGCTACATGCACGAGGAGTACGTGCGCCGCTACAACACCCTGGCCGCCGCCTGGCCGTCGCCGGAGGATCTCGACGTGATCCTGGACGCCCTCGCCGCGCCAGTGCGCGCGGGGCTGCACAAGGTGCTCGTGTACACGCCCTTCTCCGCCGTGCTCGCCGCCCAGTCGCCGCCCCTCAGCCGCGACGCCGCCAGCACCGTCCTCGTCCTCCCGCCGCTGGGATCACATCTCGTGCTTGTCGCCCAGAAGCTGCTGATGCTTGCCTCCTTCCTGCAGCACCTGCACCCCGAGTTTGATCCGGCCCTGCGTCGGCTGAAAGTGCCCCATCGCGAGCTCATGCAGCGCGCCATCTGCGCCACTAACACCGTCGTGACGGGCAACGACAGCCTGATCGGCTCGCTCGAAGGCGTGCAGTGCCTCGTCATGCAAGGCATCATCCAGTCTAACCAGGGCAACCTGCGCCGCGCCTGGCTGGCTTTCCGCCGCGCCATGACCATGGGCCAGCTGATGGGCCTGCAGCGCGGCTTTCCCGCCGCCACCATCAAGACCATTGACGCCAGCACAAATCTGCCCATTGTGCCCCAGTGCCTGTGGTTCCGCATCGTCTACGCCGACCGCTACCTCTCGCTGATGCTGGGCCTGCCCCAAGGCGCCCCCGGCGACGCGGCCGTCCTGCACCCGTCCTACGGCAAAGGTGCCCTCAAGACCTTGTCCCCCGACGGCGCGCTCCAACAGCAAATCGACATCCTGCTGCCGCCCATCCCCCGCAGTCTCGAGGGCGACGACGCTGGCGCCGCTGCGTACATTTCGACGTACAAGGACCTGCGCCGCATCGAAGAGGTCCATGCCGTCATTGTCGGCCGCATCATCGAACGCAACGAGGCCTGGCGCGGCGAAGACGACGACGAACGGGGCTGCGACGGCTACAGCGACGTCAACAATGTGCTCTCCACGCAGTCCATCGACCAGGCCCTACAGCGCGCCTCGCGCAGCATGCCCGCGCGCTGGTGGGTGACCCCGCAGATCGACGAGTGGGACGGTGACAGCACCGCCATTTTCATGCAGACCCAGCGCCTGGTTGACCAGCTGTTCCACTACCACCTGCTGACCCAGCTGCACCTGCCATACATGCTGCGCCGGGGCACGAAAACGTGCCAGGCGGCCGCGGCCTCCGTCGCAGAAGAAGTCGCTGCTGCCGCCGCCGAGGCTGCCAGCTCGTCTGCAACGGGGACCGTCCCCGAGGAGGCCGCCGCGGCGACCACCATGGACCGCTCGACGGCACACCTGCTGCGGGGAGACGGGTCAAAGGTGCCCACAAGTCTGCCGCCGGACTTTTCGTTGCCAGGTAGCACCATCACCAGCACCAGCAGCACCAGCAGCAACCCGGCTGCGACCGCCTCGACTACTACGTCGACGGCCTCGGCAGCCGCCGCCTCTGACCCCAACGGCACGTCCAGGACAGCTGGAACGGGTTGCAGCGCGGGCAGCGTCGACAAGTATGCTTACAGCAAAATCACCTGTGTCAGCGCCAGCCGCGAGGTCTTGACGCGCTTCCTGTCGCTGCGCAGCTTTCGGCAGGTCACCTTTTTCTGCCGCTGCATTGACTTTTTCGCTCTGCTCGCCAGCATGACCCTCTGTCTCGCCCATCTCGACAGCCACCGCAACGAGCAGCAGCAGAACCAAATGGTCGCCAACGACTTCTTGGCCCACCAGCGCCTCAGCGACCGCGGCATGATGGAGCGCGTGCTCGAGAGCATGGACGAGATGGTCCGTCTCAACGAGGACGACGCGCTGTCGGCCAAGAGCGCGGCCTTTTTGCGGCGCATGCTCGACGTCGAGCGGGACGCCTCTCTGGCCGTGGCCGCGTCGCTGGGCTGCCAGGACGCACAGGAGACGCTGCGCACGCGGGCCAAACAGTCACCCGACGACCTCCGCGTGTGGGTGCCCTTCTTGGGCACCATCCGCATCAACAAGGAGGGCATCCTGCGCGTCAACGGCAACGATTGTCCGCTGGTCCTGTCGCCCGAAGCCAAGAACAACAACATCCCGGGCGGTCGCGCCAACGGCACGACAAGGCCAGACGACGGCGTCACCTGTGTGATTGGAGGTCCCAACGTGGAAAACCAGGCCAAGCACCGGCAACAAATGCAGCAGGCGGAGCAAACGCAGAACGACAGGCAGCAAACGCAGCAGTTGCAACAAGAGCAGGAACGGCGGCAGCAGCAACAGCAGCAGCAGTTCCAGCAACAGTTCCAAATGCAACAGCAGCAGCAGCAGCAGCAGCAGCAACAGCAGACACCCTATCTCCAAAACGGCCCGCCTCTCAGCTCCATAGAGTCCCTCCTACCCGCTATGGGCGCCAACCCGTCCTTCAACAACGACCTCATGGCCACCTACCCAACCTACGGCGCCGGCGAGACCCGCGTTGTCAACCCACTGACCGGGCTTGGCATGGGCCCCAGCTGGTCGAGCGCTGGTGCCCTGAGCACGGCGAGCCCGTCGCTCATGTTCTTGCCCAATGGCGACCCCCAGGCCAGCAACCAAATGTTCTACGCCAACGCAGCCGACGGCAACAGCGGCAACACGCCAGCGATCGCCTCCAACACAACCGGTGGCGCCTTTATGATTCCTTCCAGCGTCGCAACCGACGACAGCGACACCCGCGTCGGCGGCTTCGCAGACGACTGGACCCTGCAGGGTGTGGACTTTGCCTTTTTCGAGAATCTGCTAATGCATGGCGGGCTGGGAGACCTGTCCTCTGGCCAAACAACGGCCACCTATGATGGCGGCAACAACGTCGGCGGCAGCGGCAGCAGAAACATGGACGCCAATCCAAACGCCGCAAACGCCCTAGCCAGCGCGGCGGACAAAGACACCCCAATGGCGGATCGTGGCATGACCACAACGAGCCGTTCGTCGACCACCATGGCCAAGACGGCGGGACACAAGGCGTCGTCAGCAGTGGTCGCAGGTGGCCAAAACAGCGCCGAGAATTCTGCCGGCGATGAGGGCGACGATGGCCACAACATACCCATCTCAACTGGCCAGCGAGAAGGCCGTCTAGGCGGCCACTGGGTGTGGCCGTAAGGATCGTGTTTTGTATTGATAGCAAATCTTCATAGAACGACTGCAATGACCATCTCACGTGTATCATCATCCGTTTATTATCCTCTGCGAAGTAAAGTGTGACGTGCCGATGGGAGAGAAGGTGAGTGAGTAGACAAAGGCCTGGCAGAAATACGCAAAGAATCAGTTTCTATATAGCCATGTCCGAGTGTGTTGACAGGAACATGCGGGTATATAAATGAAAATGGAACATAAAATGGCCGGCATAAAACAAAGAGCACATGCAGAAAAGCACGCAGCCAAATAGGAACCAAAAGCAACAATACGAACGTGACACCGACTGCCTCATAAAGAAGACAGGGGAAACAAAAAATCTCAAAACAAATGCAAGACAATCCGCATACTCCGTCATTTCATCATCTCGTTCTGGCCCAGGAAGGTCCGCGCCAGCTCGTCACCACCCTGCTCGGCCGCCTCCATCCAGTGGATGGCCACACACATGAGTGCCGGGTCGTTGCGCACGTCATACACACCATTGCCGCCAGGGCCGCTGCCGCCATGGCCATAATGACCATGACCGCCCGGGCCGCCGCCACCAGGCCCGCCGTGTCCACCCGACATCATACCAGACGACCCCCCACCGCCGCCGCCGCCGCTGCTGCTGCCGCTGCCGCCGTACTTGTCCATCACCGCCTTCTTAAACACCTCGCGTGGCTTCGAAAGAGGCAGCGTCGTGCGCTCGACCAGCTCCGGGTTGGACAGGTAGAAGATGGCGAGCTCACGCTGCGACGTCGGGTCGCCCTCTTTGGCCGTGATGGTCAGCATGCGGGCCGCGTCGGCGAGCGAGTAGGCACTCGACAGCGGGAGTGGTGTCGAGTAGGGAGAGGACGCCGGGGATCCATTCGAACCGTCGCTGGTCAGCGAGGACGCAGAAGGAGGCGGCGGTGGTGGCGGTGCCGTGGGCGCTTTCCTGGTTTTTGTATACACCCCGACGATCTCGTCGGCCACCTCGATCATCGTGGTGCACACCTCGCTTTTGAGCAGCAATGCTGCCAGACCAGCTGCCCAGAACGACTTGCCGCGCTCCGATCGGTCCAACACCTCGGTCGGCACAAATGCTGCGATGAACTGCAAGTCGCGGAACAGTGTTTTGGGCCGGATCGTCGGGTCGCAGAACAGCGACTGCAAGATGCAAGTCACCGCATCCTTTGTCGATGCATTGCGATTCTGCCCAGCACCAGCACCGTGCCCCGTGGCGCCAATACTGCCACCGCGGGACAAGGCGGGCTGCTGCGTGGAGCCAAGCGTGCTCGATCGCCGCTCCTTCACGTTGTCGATGGCCTCCTCGAGCGGCTTAGGCCGGTTGGTCGGCGGGCCCAGAATGGTCGTCTCGGTCGAGGCTTGGCCACCAAGCGCTGTGGCATGGCTCACGACCGAGTTCGTGCCAGATTTTGTCATCAGGGCCAGCCGCCTGCGTGTGCTGCGCGACGAGAGCGACGCCGTAATCAGGTTTTCGAGCTCGAACAAGGCTGCCAATTTCGCGTGCGGGTTGGGATGCACGCAGAACATGCGCAGGAGCCGTTGGTACGCCTTGGTGAACGGGAAATCGGACGTAGTCGTCTTTTTCGTCGTCGGTACACCTGCGGGCTTCGAGCTCGTGTGTAGCGGGGAGCGTTCATGACGAGCCACAGTCGCCGTATGGTCGCTGGCCGTGGCAGAGCTATCATTGGCGTGGCTCCCGCTTCCATTGGCATCCGGTGTCTGGCTTCGGCGACTCAGCGTGGACGGGGATTGGTCGCCAGCGGAACCTCCGCTGCTTTCGGTGGCAACCGTTCGCGTGTCGCACAAGTCGTTCTTCCGTTCCTTGTTGTCGACGACAATCTGCTTTAAAGAGTTGCGGTTGTTTCTTCGCTTTTTGTCCATCGCAGCCTCATGTCGCTGTCTCTTCTCAATGGCCTCACGCCGCTCAATGCATTCTTGGCCGAGTCCGCCAAACCAATAATCGGTCTCTGAGCCACGAGCAAACACAAGATTTCCGAGATCCGACAGGAGCAAGCTCGTCAGGGTCTGCCGAAGGTCGTTCAGGAACCAACTCTTCTCCTCCGACACCCGCTGATGGAAAGCAGTGTCAACAGAAGACGCCGATGTTCCCGGTCGGCCTCCACTGGCAGCGTGCGACGACGCCTGTATCCCGTCAATGCCGCCGTGGCGAGAAAAGAGAGGGCGACGGGAGGTTTGGTTCAGAGAAAATGGGTTGGCGAGATTGGTCGAGCTCGCCGTCGGCGATTGCGCACGAGACGTCGCCGTACTGGGCGACATGGACGATGGGAACGGAGACCAAAACGTTGTCGATGTGTCGATGGCCGGAACGGGAGAGTGCAGCCCGCCAGAAAAGTAATCTTGTCCGCCCAAGACCTCCGAAAACGACGTGCTGGCACGCGAAAAGCTGTAGCGGCCAGAGTCAAAGGACTGTACACTGGGGTTGTTTTGGCCGAGCGTCGCTCGTAGATCACCGCCACGCATCGATGTGCTGGGACGCCGGCTCACACCGAGCCGCCGGTTCTCGGAGTCGAAGCTCCGAATGCTGGATGCGTCATCCCAGGGCGTGGCCGCACCATCTTGGTCTCGACCCGCAGAGCGACCGCGAGATTCCAGGTATTGCCGGTCTCGCGTGTACAAGTCGCTGGACCACAACACGGGGGCATCGACGATGCTCTCCCCAATCAACTTCTCCGTGCAGCTGGCAACCTCGCAGGAGAAGCGGTGGATACGCTCTTCTCCCTGGCAAAAGTTGGCAATGCCACAATGCTGCAGCCATCGCAGCGTTTTCTCGGCCTGGTCGTCGGACAGCTTGTTGGGCCCGCCTTGGCTTTCTGTGGCGGCGAGGAGCTCGACAATCTCGCTCTCTGTTCGGTAGAGATACGATGCCGCAGGTCCTCGTTGTTTGCCGTGTCGAGAGCGCTGATAGGCATCCCACTTGCGGCTCGTACCCATTGTTTTCAGAGCAACCGCAATGTTGCGCGTAAACTCGTATGGAGCCGAGTTGCGCACATCGGTGACGTACCACATCTTGTCGCGAAGCGCTCTGAGGCGCCTCATCATCGTATCGATTGCTCCTTCTGCTCGCTCCTGGGACTGTTTTAGCCAAATGAGCCAGGCCTCGTACTCTTCGACAGCAGCAGCTGAGCGACGGATGGAATCCCGCGGGCCACGGGAGAAGATATTGAGCAGGGCGGCAAACCCATTGTGTCGCAAAGATTCCGAGTTGAGAGCATTCAGCTGCTGTATTGTTTTCCAATACTGGTGTGCAGATAAGAAATCAGACTGGGAACGTGACTGGGACGATGCGGCGGCGAGCATGGAAATCAGGACAGATTCGGTGGCCTCAGGCTCTTCTTCTGCATTGACGACAACGGGGCTCGTCCCCGTATCTCCGTGGAGCGAGTCAAACGACGCTTGCGAGTCCTGTGATTCGTGTGTCCGGTGCGTCGCAGACCTGGCTGGTTCTTCCCCGTTTGCATCCACGCGGCGGAGGTATGGATTGCGGCTCTGGAGGGGAGAGAATGCTTCTGACGTCCTGCTTGCTTCGGTCGTCACCACTCTGTTGTTCTTGAGACGGTACTTCTTCAGACGGTTCGCTCTGTTGCTGAACGTGTGGGTCACACCGCTTCCAGCGTCGACGGCCTGTGGAATCTCGTAGTCTTCAACCAGTTTTAATATAGAGTTTCGCATGTGGTGGTAGTCGGTGTCCAGTTCGGTCTTGTCCGGTCCCGATTGCTCATCTTCAGATGGGTCGTCGTCCGTCTCATCAGACGACGAAGTGGCGTCTTCTTCGATTTCGTCGTCTTCGTCCGGATCGTAGGTCATTTGGGTGGACAAGGTGTTGCCGTCTGGGGAAATAAACAGGACTGCCCAGCGTTCGGCGCAGGGGTGGCAAGACCCGAGCACGCGTTCGTGGCCCAGGAAATGGGCCATATCCTGGATGGCCAATCGGAGTCTGTAGCCGTCACTTTCATAGCTGTTACGTCGTCGTTGCTCCGTTCCCGAGAGTGACGGTGGTGGAGGGGACGACCGGTACGACGATGTGCCGGTCTGCTGGCTCTCGAGGAGAGGTTCCACAGACGTCGTCGCGTCGCTGTTTGCTGAAGATACGCTCGTGCTCAGGACCGAGTAGGCGTCGGTGTTGCTTCGCTGCGCACTCACGGGGACGGGTTGGGATAGTACGGAGAAGTTTGAAATCGACCCGGGTCCAGAGCGGAAGCTTCCGGATTGAGCGGATCGGGGTCGACGTTCCGGGAACAGGGCATTGGCCATGGTTACCAAATCTGCGGGGCTGACAACGAGATACGGGTGCACCTCAACAGTCTCTCGCAGGGACGTGATAGAGCGGGCAGGGAGAAGCCGAGCTGCTGGGCGATGGGCCTTTGAGTCGCGGAACCGATTCATGATGCTGTCGATGTGGGCCTTGATAGACGGGGGCGTCGAGACCGGTTTCGTATTTTGCGCGTGGCTCAGAGACATGGTCTTCTCGACGACGAGCCTCTGTGCACGCAAAGCGACTTCCTTGAGGATCTTTTGGCGCCCATACTCGGTGATGTGGTATTCGGCCATGAGGCCGTGCGTTTCAGGGTGAATGATGACACTCAAAAGCCAGGCCCCAAACAGCCACTTGTAAACAAACCAGCTTCGCGTGTTGTCGACGAATTTCGCGTCCAGCTTTGCCAAAATCTGGTTGCCGAGTTCAATCAGGCCCTCCGGGATCCCGGTTGCGTCCTCGTCGTCAATGACGTCAAAAAGGTCGTTAATGGCACGGTCATAAAACTCCTCGGCAGCAATCTGGTCCTTGGTGGTCCACTCGTTCAAGTTGAACCGCGTTCCGTTTTGGTCCTCGGCGCGGTCCAGGAGGAAAGCACCGTCTTCAAGAATCTTCATGAGGAACCATTCCATGTTGGATCGACCGGACCAGTCACGCAGAGAGCTCCAGGCATTGAGGACGGCCACCAAGACAGGCTCACCAGCCGCTCCCTTTTCTGAGATGAGCCGAGCGCATGCTGTCGCCCAAATGTCGGTTCTTCGCCTGTCTTCGGCACTGTCGGGTCCAGCCGAATTGGCAAAACAGGTATGAATCAGAGCGGACAGCGGGTCGTGGCGTTGAAACGACAAAAGCTTTTGCACCGGGTTCGCGTCCTTTCCAGGGCCTCCGAGCGACGTATTGATCGGAGGTGTGCGTCCTGATGGCGCTCCGCTGCGCGTTGATGGCGGCCGGCTGTGAAAGGGGAGAACCGAGTCAATCGGCTCCATGCCCTGGTAGAAGGATGTTAGCGCACTCAACTCGGCTGTGCCCAAGGAGCACAACCGGGTAGCCAGAAAATCTGGGTTGTTCCTGATGTTGGTCAAAAACGATATGAAAATATCCCGAGCTTCGGCTGAGATCTCATTCAAAAACGGAGCGATAGATATGGTGCCAGGGGAAGGTGTCGCTCCGTTGAGCGAGCCAGCATCCACGGCCGTGTCCAAGCTCGCGGTTGAGGCCGGCGATCGCAGGGCGTCCAGCTCCGGTTCGAAGAGAGCATACTTTCGCAGCTCGTCGCAGCTTTTCCGTACGTTGTGGACGGCGTTGTACAGATTCGCGAAACCTGTGCGGTCGTCGCTGCGAAAGCACTCTGTCAAGTTTCGGTGCGCCATGTCGCCGCATCGCACCAGGCGAGCAGTCAGGGCAGTGGCGATGAGGTTCAGCTGCAGTCGAGTCCTTGTCTGTGTCCGCTTTCGCTCCTGGTACTTGGATAATCTCACCAAGTGCGCCAGTTCGCTTAGCGACGTGCCTTCGGACTCGGCGGCAACACGTCCGCCGGGGTTGACGGATGCATCCTGCAAAAGCGGTTTGGCCGTAAAATGATACTTTATTCCAGAGATGCCCGCTGGACTGGTGGGAGGGCTGGCATTTGAGGTAGAGTGCGAAGAGGCTTTCTCGTTAGAAATTTGGCCGTGTGAGGACGTAGGTAGCTCATGCATGGATGGCGGCATTGGCCGGTGGCTCTGCACGACGGACGGTCTGTGAGGAGCAGACGAAGAGTACCCAGGCACGGTGCCAGTGTCGGACACCCCGACGAGCGGAGAGCCCAACATCGGCAGAGATGCGCCTTCGGTGGAGGAAATAGACGATATGGTCGAGATCATGGAGGCAGTTGTAGCGGTTGCTGTCACAGTAGCAGTGGTAGCTGCAGCGGCGGTTGTCTTGCTGGAGACCATCAAGTTGGTCAATGTCGGCGGCACCGTCAGCGGACCGGCCGATGTCCTTCGCGAGGCGCCGTCGCTACGACGATTTGGGTACGACATGTTGCCTTCGGCAAGGCGCGCAAGACTTCGGAAAGCGGTCGCGGGCGGGGGAAGACGCGGCTGATCGACATTCTTCTCCTGGCGTTCAAGGAGCGGTGGTGTCGGGGATCTCGCCAAGCCATGCGGCTTAGAAGTCGGAAGAGGAGCTAAGCGGACGGTTAGCAGCACCGTACAAAATGTCACGACAAACGTGTGACCAGAGGATACGGGACGAAGAGACTTACAGGACAGGTCTTTGTTCACAGGTGACGAGAGAGACCGTTGCAAAGGGACCATAACGGTACGAACGTGGCGGAGGGAGGTTGGGTGGCCGTTGTCGAGTGAAAGACAGTCGTATCAGTAGAAAGTTAAAACTGCTCCGGGTGCGCCTCCAGGCGTTTCGCCGTGCACCAAAGCCGAGGCGAGCGGCAAGCGACGGCAGTACGCAACGCCGCAGCAATCGACGAGGCGGGTGCGACGGGGGACGAGAAAGCAAAGCGAGGGGTGGTGAGTGAGTCGTGTATACGTATGCCGTGATCCGTAAAAGAGTCTGTATGCGTGTGTTGTCCCGATTACAAGACGCAGGTGATGGCAAGGTTAGTGGTCGTGGCGCCACATACGTGCAGCCCACTGGCGATGAAATGCGGCGAGCTTACACGTTTCGCCCGTATGACACGCGCGAATGCAGATGAGGGCGGCGGCAGCGAAAGGGTTGTCAGGAGAAAACAGCGAGAGAAGAAAAGGGGGAGGAGGAAGGGAAGGGAAGCAAGCGATGACGACGGTGGGTGACAGATCCAGAGATCCAAATGGCCAACGAGGGAAGCGGCGAACGGCGCGTCACTTTTTCGTTGCTGCCCCAGCCAAGGCAAGAGGGGAACTGCGGCTGCAGGATGCGTGAGTGATGCGTTGTACCTTCCCTGCCAGGTGCTGTGCTGTGCATGCAGCTGCGTACATGCGTGCGTGCGGCCAGAAGGAGCGACCCAGGGCCCTAGCCGGATGGGCAGGCTGGCAGACCGCAAGCTAGCCGACCTATCCCAGGCTGGGCTGGCCTGGTCTGGCTGGCCTGCCCTAGCTTAACCGAGCTGGGGACCTCCCGCCAACCATTTTACCCCACGGATCAGGATAGCGTCGCCAACGCGGCGAGCCCACACTTCGCGCTACACAGCTGTCAGCGTGCGCGGCGTCAGGGCAAACTGCGCCAGGGAGGGCCGGCCTGGAACTTTGTGAGCCGATGAAGCGGGCCAGCCCACAAGCTTGGAAAGGTATCTTAGGAGCCAGCGGTCAAATGTAGAAAGAACCACGCCGCTCTTTCCCTGATACGACGTTCACCCGGAACGTGCGCATTGGAACACGACGACGCAGCAGCAAGACACAAGGCGATGTCTCTTATTGAGTGCAACGTGGGACCAGTCAGGTGGCCCACGACATCGTTTGCCACGGTTATTTTCGTGCAAGTGTATTGTCTGTGTTCTGGTGTAGTGTGTTGTGAGCGTGTTGCCTTGCGTGTCGGTGCTTCTTTCCTTTTGTGCTCCACGCACTTTCTGTTCGCGGCTTAAGAGGCTCTTCTCCTACCTACTCGCCTGCCATACGCATCTGTAATGGACGCAGCGAAGCCTTGCTGAATCAGCTTTTATCACTGAAAAGGGGAAAAGCTTATGCTGCCAGAAAGGCACAAAACAAGACGGAGGTTGCTATATTCAACAAGTAGGTCCTCGGTTGCCATTCTTTTACTACATCAACAGCCCCGTCTAGAAAGGGTCAAGAAGTCAAGCAGGCACCTGCTCGCTGTTCTTTAAAGGGAGCGACCAAAGAACCAAAAACAGCCGGCCTCAGCAACAGCAACAAAAAGTACAATCCAAGCATCACGACCACCTGCCACGCTCATGTTGCCGGCCTGCCCGGAGGCGTTCACTCGCGCCGGGGGACTCATTCTCGAGATGCACATGTCCTTGTCCATCTTCTTAGTACCAGCTTTCCTCTTTGATTTTGAGCCATTCTTGTGTCCTTGAAGAGACACCGGTTCTGTCTGCATCGGTTGGTTTCCTTTGGGGTATTGCTTGGGCTGCTTCTTGGACTCTTCTTTGGACTTTCCTTTCATGTTTTTGGCCGTTTCGTTGCCTTTTCCTTTGGTCTCTCCTTTGGTCTTTTCTTTGGTCTTTGCTTTGGTCTTTGCTTTGGATTTGTTTGGGGGTTCAAGTTTGGTCGTTTTCGTGACGTTTTTCTCATTCGTTTTGGTGTTTTTCTTGGCTTCTTTCTTCGTCTCTTTCTTGGTCTCTTTCTTGGCCTTCGTCGTTGGTGCCGTCATCATTTTTGTCGTTTGAGATTTCGTCTTTGATTTTGCGCCACCTTCATCTTCGAGGGCCGTCAAGGCCGTCGGTGCTGCCTTCACTCGTTGCTTTTCGTCCGTCTCTTTCTTCTTTCCCTTCGCCTTGCTCCTGTTACTTGCTGACGCCGCATTTGTTGCCAGCCTCGTCTCTCCCCCGGTCGCCGATGTGCTTGCAGCTGTGTCTTGAGGCAATATTGCTTCGATGACCACCATATCGTTGGTTCCGTTTAGGGTCAAGCGCAGCTTTTCTTCAATTCGTATAACGCTGGCCTTTCTTGATCGCTGCAGCCATTGTGTCACTCCGTCGACGCTCTGGGCATATCTCTTCCGCCAGATGTCACACTGATCGAATGGCCAGAACTGGTACCAGAAGTCCGCAGCTTCTGGAACCGTAGGGTGAATAGCAATGATTCTCGCAACGGCGTGGCCGCCAATTATGCCAGTCAATATTGGCAGTTCGACCAGTTGCATGTTCGTTCCGCCACCTGGGTTAAATCGCTGCGGAGGCGGTGGGCAGAGGACCGTCACGACATGGCTGGTCCTCGCAATATGCCACGCAAATTCGGCTGACGCGCCTCTCATGTATTTGGTCAGCCCTTTCTTTCCGGGGTGCTTTCGCGATGCGTCGCGCGTTCGTAACGGCCCCATGGCTGTCGACAGCGTCTGCATGCCCCTGTCGTCCGCCCATTTCTGTGCCGCCTCACGAGCGATGCCGGTCCACATGACTTGCTTGTTTGGCTCGCATGATGAGGCGAACTCTTGATCCAGCTCCGCTACCTCGCCATCGGTCAAGAACTGACGGATAAACTCTGCAGTCTCAGGGGGCCGGGCAGCGGTCGGACGAAGCGGCGGAGTGTCAAGCACTGTTACAAGAGCATTGAAGTCGTCCATTGGTCAAGCAACAACTTTGCAGCTGTGGAACGTGATTTGTGCAAGGTTCACCGGGAGGATAGAGATGTGAAATGATCTGAACATGAATGCCGCCTAAGGGCGTCAAGGTTTCGAGGTGGCATTCAATGATGCGGAGGCCTTTTATGGCCTGATACATGTGGTATGTCTTGGGACCTTCTGCACAGGACGTACGTCGTTCTGTGTATCTACATTCTTTGTCTCTCGACGACGATGCTGTGCATTGAGTAAGCGTCGATGTGTAGGCACACTTTGTCTGGCCAATCAGTTGGATAACAGCACCCTGGGGCTCTCCTTACATTGTTCCAACCCATTTTGAGTCTTTATATTACAGCCCTGGATTGCAGACGAAGGGGTTCGTGGTCTTTGTCTAGGATCGACGGACCTCTTCTCGCACGTCGGCGATCAAATCAGTCTCGTCCTCTGGCATCGGCCCTAAAACCAGCGCTATATCAGCCACTGAAAACGAGGACCCTCTTTCTCGTTGGCATCTCGCGCCAATCGCTCTACTCGTCGGTCCAGAACACGCTTACCACCATTTAGCATCGTCACGTTGTACCACAAGCATTCTCGTCCGTCCGATCCAAAAACGAGACACCCCCTCTTCTTTCGTCTTGGCCCCCATCTCGCCCCGCCTCCAATACCCTTCTCAGCCTGCAGCCAGCCAATCCCGGAGCTCCACGCTTCTCCCAGGCTGCATCTACCGGTTTTCCTTTGTTTAACATCTGCCAACACATAGCCTCGAAAAGGGACTCCGGCCAGGCCCCTTGTTGAGGTTGTCTACGAAAACCCCCTGTCCGTCCCAGGCTGTCGGCCAACACGTACGACATACTATGGTCCCAAATCGACTATCTACAAAGTAATTTCTTCAGTCCGAGCCCAGGAAACAAAATCCAAATAAATAGACATAAAAATAAAGTAAAATAAAATAAAATAGCTCTTCAAACTAAATCGATGGGGCAGAGGAGCTGAAAAAGAGTGCGCGGGCGTATCAAAGTGAACGGTGAGTGGATGTCGAGGGAATGTGTGCCGACCATCCAGCCAGCTGTGCTGTCTGACAGCTTTTCTTCGTGCGGACTATGCCTGCCACATGGTCTTGTGGTCGTCGTGTATGCATGATGCCGTCCATTGGCTTGCGTCCAGCGGTGGCAAACATGTTGCGTCCTCTCAAATTGCCCTCCTTTCCAACACATTTTTGTCACGTAGGCCGCTTGGTACACTCGACATCGGTTTACTTGGACCCTTTTCTCGCCCATCCAACCACAGCCCAGCAATACAGATGTGATGTCGCAAGCCGCTGCCCGTGCTTTGCATCGCATCGGTCGGCTCTCGCCGCACTTGGGAAAGCGGGCGGGCAAGGGTCATCACGACATGGAAAAAAGCAACCGAGCCCTCTTATAGGAGCAAGCAACGGGATGGGAGCCAAGACACGATGCAGCCGATCAATTTATTGGCTCTGCGACTCGGCCTGTGTCACGAATCATGATACGGGAAGGGAAATGTCGCCGATGAGAGGTCGCAGGAGGAACGGCCCTGCTTTTACCTCTGCAGAAACAATATCAACGCTGGAGGCGAACACATGTCCAAGTACATCCCGACGGCCTTCGTCTGGACATGCACGTCTCCAGCCGTGCAACCCTTTCATGTACTTGGTTTCGCAAATTCGCCCATACTGCGTACTAGAACGACTACGCGTACCTCTCATAGCCAGATACAAGTGTGCGTGCAGCAGTCACTTTGCACATACACGTACACACGCCCGCTGGATCGCGTAAGAGTGTGAACGATGCCATTATTCGACAACTACCCATACCCACAGTCCCATACGAGCCAACGGATGTATGCAAGCTCCATCCTCCCACCATCAGCAGTGCCGTCATGTACGCATCTCATTCGCCTACAACTTGTCGCTGTTCGTACCAATAGGCAGGCGTGGAAGGCCCGTAATAGAAACCCTGTTCGTATAGCAGGTTGTATTTGCGAGCTTCAAGTTCTTTCGATTGACATGCATCTCGTATGATGCAAGGCATCCAGATCTTCCAGCCAGTAAAATAACACCAGATGTTGGTTGGCAAAGGCGTGAATGCAACCTGACGAGACTGGCTGTTCTCAAATGAAATATCATGTACTTAAAGGTACGTTGCAATTTTATTTTCTCAACAAAAATAATGAAAATTAAAACAAATTCAAGCATTTAAAAAGACGTGACTTATCTCGATTTTTAAAAATAAAATAAAATCACAAAGTAAAATAATGCTCAGCAAGTAGGAACAAAACATTTTTTTTTTAAAAAAAAAAAAAACTATGCTTTTGAATTTGCTTATCGAGAAATACGTTGTGACTTCTGATAACGACGGGCACACAACATGACCATGTGAGCCTGTCCATGAAACGTGCCTCGCACAACTATGTACATTTGATGTAAGGCCGTGACAAGAAATAGGAGCAAAAAATATACAGTGCAAAAGGACAAAAGGTAAAAATCTCAGCCATGTGGGATATCCGTCTTTGTTCGAGCTGGTATCTCTTTCAAATTTTCTGTACACCCGTAAACCATATCATACACATCACTAAACAAGGAAAAAGCAAATATAACACAAAGGAAGTCAAAGAGCATTAGCCTAGGCCTGGAGTCCCTTCACGTGGGTCATATCTGTATCTGTTGTGAGAACAGAACAGAGAAATGCAGAGGGTAGTCGCTGATAACAAGAAAAACATCACAAGATCAAAAGGTCCGGTACACGGAGCGGGATTCAAGGCTCCTTGCCGAACCGCACGTCAAAGCCCTTGAGAACGCTCATGATGCTGGCGGCCTCGACCTCCATGGGATGCCGCTGGGCGGGCGCGTTGGGGTCGTGCCGTGGCGCGGCTCGCAGCTTGGGCAGCCACATGCTGATCTCGTCAGTCGCTTCGTCAAAGTGTCGGTGGCTTGACAGCGTCTTGTAGGCGTCGGCACACGACAGGCTAATGCTCGTCTTGACCGCGTCAGCGGCCAATACGTTGCCGCTGGGTCCCACGACGGTGGACGTGGATGTGGAGGAGGACGCGCCGCCGGGGGCCGCTGGTGCGCCCTTTTTGTCCTTGCAGCAGCCACTGCCGCTGCCGCCGCCGCCACAGCATCCATCTCCAGCACCGGCACTGGCACCCTGGCGCTCAAAGTTGGCGGCCAGAGACCGACAGAAGAGGCCCGAGACCGGGTCAGACAAGCACTGGGCGCACGTACCAGGGCCGGCAGGTCCACACTTGGAACGAGTCGTGTCAGAGGACAACGCAGCCGCCGTGGGGGGCACAAGCTTGCTCTCCTGCTGCTTTTGTTGTAGTTGCTGCTGCTGCTGCTGCCGTCTGAAGGCGGCCATACTCGACAGCTTGATGGCGCCCGTAGGCGTCACTTCCAGCGGCATGGCTATGGGCGGCAGGTCGTTCTCCGACGGGGGTGGGGTCTTCTGCTGAGCCACAACCGTGCCGGCCGAGATGGCGAGGCTGCCCGTCATCGTGACGCCCGGCATGCTGTCGGCGCAAACACAATATGTGCCGTCCGAGCAGAAGCCACAGCGCTCTTTGAGGGGAATCTCAAAGCGCGGTGCGGCTTGCGGGTTCTGTTGTTGCTGCTGTGGTTGCTGTTGATGCAGCTGCGGCTGCGGCAGGTGGCGGGGCTGCATAGACGGCAGAGGCGTGCGGACGGGGCCGCCGGCGCCGGTGGCCTTGGAACGGGGGACCATGTGGGTAAAGTCGGTCTCGGCATTCGTGTCGACGTCGCTGAAGTGGCGCACACGCTTCTCTTCGGGCGCCATTGGTGTCGGCGAAGAGCTCGAGTGGGATCTTTTGAGCTCCGACGAGATATTGCTGAAGCCACCCCCCGTCAACGCGTTGATGCTCTCCTCGAGGCAGGCACACTTTGTGCCAAGCGTGCACTTGCCACAGTCCATCGAGACAGTGGCAGCCATAACTTCGTCGGCACAGGCGCACGAGCCGTTCACGTTGCAGTTGCCGCAGGTCAGCTGCTCGTCGTCAGGTGGCGAGATGATTTGAGAGATGGAAAAGGGTTGGGCGGAGACATGGCGACCGGAAACGGATGAGATGGAGCTGGATGTGCTGCCGCGCTGCTGATCGTGGTGGAGCGGTTTTTGCGGTGCGGGCGAATGGATGTGGTTTAGGGATTGCTGGTGTTGTTGTTGTTGCTGCTGCTGCTGCTGCAGCTGCTCTGGGTGGTGTTGTGTCTTTTGCGGCTGGATGGAGTTGGCTCGATGCATGCTGTTGCTCCGCGCCGACGAATGTGATGCCTGGCGTTCTTTGTTGGCCCACGCCTGGTTAATGGCCTTTTCCTTCTCGAGCAGGTTCTCCAGTATCTGGCACCGGCTGCGGAGGACCTGGATCTCGGATTCGAGTGTCCGGATCTTGTTTTGGCTTTCCAGTTCGGCACGGTCGTGTTCGTTCTTCTGGTCCTCCAAGAGGTCCTCGAGCTCACCCACACGTGCTGCTCTCCGCTCACGGAAGGCACGTTGTGCGGCGCGGTTCTGGGCTTTCCGCTTCGTCGGCGGCGTGTCTGTGGCCGGCTTGCGGCCCGGCTTGGGACGCGGCGGGATCACCCACTGCTTGCTGGTGATGGACATGGGTGGCTTGCCGGCGATCGCTGCCGGACTCTGTACTGGGGCTGGCGACTGGGGTGCCGGAGATGCAGCGGAAGCTGTGGGAATAGCATTGCCAGTGGGCGCGTTGGCGGCAATCTGCATCTGTAGTGGCCGCACGGCAGCGGCTGGTGTCGGAGCCATGGGCTTGATGGCCAGCTGTGGCTTGGGAGCCACAGACGTACTAGATGAGGAAGAGGTGGAGGTTGCTGTGCTGGGTTTGGGAGAGTCGTGCGACGACATGGGCGACGCGGGCGAAATCGGCGTGCTGCCGTTGCTGCCGCTGCCGCCTATGCTGCCGCTGCTGCCGCTGTAGGCCGAGGCGACCGGCGCCGGTGAAAATGCCGTAGACGGTGGCGACTGCACTGCGAGAGGCGGGTTATGTGGCGACGGCGCCATGGCAGCAAACATCTCAAACTGAGAAGCGCTGCGGCGTCGTGGCCATGCACAAGGCGGATCGTTGCAATGACGGACCAACGGATCTAGGATGAGCGGGATCGCGGGATCGCGATCTGTGGTGTGATGGGTGACGAGGTGAGGTTCTATGGGATCTGAGAAGCAGTAAGCTGAACCTGTGGCGATTGTTGTGTTGTCGTGAATAACCGATATGCTGTGTTTAAATGTTTCGAAGCAAGATGCGGTCATACGATCTGAGCGGCACGATAATGCGAGGACGAATTCAGTGCGGCGATGACCGGAAGGGTGTTATTATTTAGCACGTTTTTTATCCCTCTTTCATGAGCCGGCTGGATGGGTGGCCGGAATCGCCCTTGGTTGTTAGGGCGCAGAGTTGCCGAATTGGTGCGCTTAGTTTTGGCGGCTGCCAGGGAAAAGATCGGTCGCTCGTACTCTCACTTCAGGTCTTGGCGTATTAGCCCCACCAAGGTCGTAGCCGAATTCTAGAGATGCGCGTTTCACTCTCCAGGTAGTGTGCGCATTTGCAGCTGTTGTTTGCCCCTCATGGGTTGGGAGCGTAGGCCGTGGCAATTGATGAGGTACAACGATGTGGTGAGAGGATGCAGAGTAAAGAATGTGAAAAAGGAGATTGGATATAGGGGAAAGAAAAAGGGGCAGTCAAGACGAAGAGGAAAGAACGACGGCAGATGATAAAAGAACAGGAAGGAGCTGACGCTGTGGAAAGGAGCCAAAAACAGCTCGCATTCGTGCGGAAGGAGCCACCTGGAGAGGCCTGGGTAGAAGGTAGAGCAAATTTGCGGTGGCGGACTCGAACAGTGACCCCACCACACCGCATTTAGAGCAGTCCGTTTGTTCCCTCTCGATCCTCTGTGTCTGCCTGATGAAAGGAAGTGACAGAGCTGATCATCCAATGCGACTCTGCACCGATAGTCATACGAGTCATACAATTCGTAGTTGGAGACGACTGGCACACGACAGAAAAGAAGCAGCCAAAATCACGCACTGGCCTGGCAAAGAAGGACCTGCCTCGCAACTGTACGTTTTACTCTTCCCTCGTTCCTTCCGTTCACGAAAGTCAGAAGCAGCCCTCGCCAGTTAGGGCCAACCGAACGCTCTTTCTCTCATCTGCCCGTCCATTTTCCTTGGGCGTTCTTGCGTTCTGTCCTCGTCATAATTTATGGGCCGCGTGTGGTCGAGTGGAGTCTCTCAATGTGTGGCTAACACGCTGATTTGCTAGCTCGGCTGATGGCGACGACGAAGAAGCGAGGGAAACGACACACGAAGAAAATTTAAAGGAAAGTGGGGCCACTGATGCGATTGATAAGATAATTTTCACTAGGCTTCTTGGCGCGCGCTCTTTTTCGGTCTCTCACTCTTATCCCCCCTTTCCATCGACACGAAATCGCGCCATTTGTGCCTCTCGGAAGAGGGGTTTCCTTTGAACAAACGCATTCCAGGAACATTCGTTTCCTATTTATTATCTTACTCCCCACTCTACAGGAAGATGCGTCAGTGTGTCATGATTGTATACTTTGGAGGCCAAAAGGGGCATCCTGGATTCCGTCTGGCCCAATGCAGCGTCAGCCGAATAGGTTGCTTGTATGCCCCTGCGAGAAATCCGTACAGTCATGCCTCATGGGACTGTGCTGCTACGCTTCAGGAGGTTCAGACTGTAGCGTAAAAGAACAAGGCAAAGGCCAGGCGTTGGTGCCAAGCGGCGTCGGTCTAGACGACAACGTCGCATACGTGCGCCGACTCGTTCCACCGAGAGACGAGGAGCGACTTCGGACGCATCGGTCTGGCATGGTGTGGTATTTGATGCGTTGCAAGTTTAACCGTATGAACTGCTGGATAAACCTGCCTGCCGAGCCAAAGGACCGTTGGGAGTGCACTCCATCCTGCGCGTGTAGGTGAGTGCGCATGTGGGGGTTGATGACTGCTCAGAGTACGGACGGAGCAAATTGTCCCGTTTACCCAACAAATGCAGCGGCAGGAAATACGATACCAGGTTCGGAGCCCGGCGGGAGCTCGGTTCGAGAGAAGCAAAACTCATTGTATGATACACAGAATCAAGAAAAGCAGAGGATCTACTCATGTCGTTCGTGCGATGAGTTAGATACGAATCTCTTTTAAATAGACGAACTCCGGTCATCTTCGAAACTTATGTGGTCAAAAACGGGAAACGGCCACGGCTTGAAATACATTGAGAAAACCCAAAACAAAAATGCAAGCTACACAGACCGCATGCCGGATCCTGAGAGTGGGTAGCCAAGAGCGAGCAGCCGGTGCACGGGAGATGTTGATTTTTTATCAGATCAAAGCACACATCCATGCAAGATTATCAATCTCATCGGGGAGACAAAGGGCGGTCATTCGTGGACGGTCGGCGCCAGAAAGAAAACCGGGATGTGGATAAAAAGAAGAAAATAAGAAAAGGCGATAATAGAGTGAGAGAACGAATCAGGATGTAAAAAGGCCACGACAAAGTGCACGAAAGCCGAGAAATGCCCACGTCCGGTGCCGACAAGATTCGTCTCACCCCCCCCCCTCCCCCCCCTCCCCCCCCCCACAGATGCCATTTTACGATGTAGTGTGTTCAGCACAGTCTCCAGAGGGCATTTCAGGCAATACAGGGCGCCAGCATGCTCGTCGTAGCGCCTTGTGTGCCCTGTCTCAACGCGTCCCCGCCCCAACGGCTAACTTGTCTTTGGACAATCTATGGCGAATGGACGGCGATAGTAAGAAGTACAACCATTTGCGAGAGATGAACGAATTTGCAGACTTGGATCGAGGCCATGTACTAAGAGTACACAAAAGCAACCAAGAACGAAGGACTTACCGCTCCGTTGTTTGGCAGGGCGAAAAACCATCGGTCAAGGAGGTAGTATTGCCTCTTCCAAGATACTTTCAGGCACATTTTCCGGCCGGGGCGGCTTTTCAAATGCTCGACTGAAATAACAGAAGAAGCTTGGGAAAAGGAGTTCCACTGAATTGTCAGATCAGATGAGCCCTAAACTGGTAGTCGACCATGTTAAACTCGAGTAAGAATGTATGTTGTACACGAACTGTAATATACACTGATTAAAAGATGCACGTGATATTATGTCAGCACTGAAGTCCACGGTAAACAGCCAACCCACGAGCGGCATCAAGCTCCATCAACACGACGCATTTGGCGAGAGAGCAATCCATCGGCACCTACTTAGCCGACACGACGTACCCAGACCCAGGGCCTTCTCTTGTACACAACACACACAGAGATGGAGTCCTCACAACTGAGCTCGGCCCGCGGCCGGCCACCACCATCCCCCTACAGCAGCTACGGCGGCTTCCAACTCCCGTCATCCTCTTCCTCAGATAGCGGCGCCGGCGCCGGCGGTGGTGGGGGGGCCTATCGCAACAACGGTTTGGGCATTGGTGTTGGTATCGGTGACGACGACGACGACTTTGGCGACGACGACGACCTCGACCTGCCCTTCCCCACGGCGCTCTCGCGCAAGGACTTTTTGACGCCCGCGTTCGACGCCACGGCCTACCTCTCCTCCCTCTTCCGGTCGGGCGACGACGGCACATCGGCCCAGCTGCGCCACCAGACGCTCGAAGACCTGCGGGCGGAACTGCGCGAGCGCAGCAGCGCAATCAGTGCGGAGCTGCTCGAGCTGGTGAATGCCAACTACACGAGCTTTTTGGGGCTGGGCGACGAGCTCAAAGGCGGCGACGAGAAGGTCGAGGACGTGCGGGTGGCCCTGTTTGGATTCCGACGGTCCGTCGAGGACGTGCAGGCGCGCGTACGGGAGCGGCGCGTGGCCGTGGGCGCTGCGTGCCAGGAGCTGGGCCAGGTGCGGACCGCCATCGACACGGGGCGGCGGCTGCTGGAGCTCGACGAGCGGGTGGCCCAGCTGGAAGAGCGGCTGTCGATTGGCGAGAACGGCGCACACCCGACGGCCGAAACACAAAACGACGACGGCCTCGACTTTGCAGACATGGACGACGACGATGAAGAAGACGAAGACGAGGAAGAAGAAGAAGAAGAGAAAGAGGCAAGGGCAGGAACAGGGGCTGGGGCGGGGGGCGTTCGGGGGACGGAAAACGAAAATGCAGACGACGAAATAACGCCCGCTTTCGTGGCCAGCGGGCCGAGGAAACTGGGCGCGCTGGCCCGCGACCTGCTGCTGGCCACACGGCTGGCTGACAGCCTGGGACACCAGCTGCCGTTTGTCAAGAAGATGGACGAGCGGCTGGACAAGTGTGAGAGCACGCTGATACTGGATCTCAATGCAGCCGTCAAGGAGGCACGGTCGATCTCGAGGAGCAAGAACAAGGCAGCACAAGCGCGGTTGCTGAAACTTCTGGCCATCTACCGGGTGCTGGACCGGGAAGACGAGGCTGTGCGTGTTTTGAAGGAGAGGTAGTGCATCCGCTTTTCGACCACGTCACGGCATTCACTGCAAGCCAAAACACGAATATAATGCATCTATAGAGTAATGAAACGCAGTCTTATGTCTCGTGTGTGTGTGTTCTTTTGTGCTTTTGTAAATAATGCTATGGTGGTGATATACAGGTAAATCCAAATATGCCCGAGCCCCAAATTGGATATATCATACAACGGTTTTATGTCTTCGTCCTCGCTTCGCTCGCGTTTCCCTCCTTTTATTTGTCCTCGCTTCGCTCGCGTTGTCTCATTTTGCTTGTCCTCGCCTCGCTCGCAGGTTCCTACATCACCGTCGACAGCATTTCCGGCGTGACCTTGTCGTCGGTCGAGTTGAACGAGCCATCCAGGCTGAAGCCGGGACCGTTGGTCGTGCTCAGCACCACCTCGTCGACCACCTTGACCGTGTTGCGCTCCACCGCGCGCATGTCCGCCCGCAGCTGCGCCATCAGCGCCTTGATGTTCTCGGCCACCATCTGCGGCGTGAAGCTGAGCTGGCCAATGGCCAGGCGCACCACGCCCTGCCGCTCGCGGTAGTTGGCCGTGCCGGCAATCTCGCGCATCTGCGCGCGCACGTCGTTGGTCACCGTCTTGGTCTTGGTGCTGGGCATGAGGCCGCGCGGGCCCAGCACGCGGCCCAGCCCGGCCTTCATCAGCGCGGGCACCGAGTCGATGTGGCACAGCAGCCGGTTGAAGTTGATGTCGCCGGCCTTGATGGCGGCAAACAGCGTCTCCTCGCCCACCGCCACGGCGCCGTCTTGGCGCGCGTCGGCGGCAACCTTGCTGCCCTCTTTGCACACGACGGCAATGCGGAAGTCGGAGCTTGTCGGGAACGGCAGCCGGATGCGGTCGCGCAGCACGGCGCCGTCCTTGTTGGTCTGCAGCTTGACGGCAAGGTCATAGCAGATGCGCAGCGGCGGGCGGCCGACCTCGACGGCGCGCAGGTAGCGCATGGCGTCACACAGCGAGTACTTTTCGAGCTTGGACTTGTCGTGGATCCGGTACGCCTTGAACTTGGCCTTCTTGTCCCGCTTCTTGGACTGAGAGGCCTGCCGTGTCTGTTGTTGCGGCTGGAGACGGTCAATGGCCATGGCTGGGACAAGGAACCGCGGAATGGACGCCATCTGCGGCCGTGGCCGTGCTGTTGTCTGCAGGGCTGTGCCCGCCATGGCGGCGAGGCATTGGCGTTGTGTGGCCATTGTGAGGGGGGGGACTGTGTGTGGTCGTGTGCGTCGAGACGTTGTCGTGAAGAGAGATCGCGCGATCGTCTAGTTTTGGGATTCAATCGGAGCTTCAAAATTTACCGTACAAGCCTACCTTGCAGATTAGTTGGTGCCTCGGATTTAAGGCGGAAGGGTGTGGTGGTCAGTTAGCCCAAAATAATTTTCCCGCCCGATAAGATAAGCCGCCCCCAATCCCCTCCTCCAGCGCCTAAACACCCCACTAACCAACAGGCAGCGCAGGCACTTTTCAGGCCTTGTCTTAGACCTGTATCAACCCCGCGATACTGGATCGACAGGCGACGATTTAAAAAAAAGCTTCACTCATCCCCAAAACCGCACGCGACTCGTCCCTCGGCATTCGAGCCACACCCCCTCCCGAACCACCTCCACAATGAAGACCGACGATCTCAAGGCCCTGCCGCCCAAGCTCGCAGGCGACTTCCGCTCCATCGAGCCGTCCCTGGCCGCGCTCGACAAGCACCTGACCCTGCGCTCGTACCTCGACGGCTACACCCTGAGCGATGTCGACAGCAAGATCTGGGTCGCCCTGGCGGAGAACCGCGCGGCCGTGTCATTTGTGCGCCGCGGCACGCTCGTCAACCTCAAGCGCTGGTTCCTCTTTGTCGAGGACCGCCACCCGGAGATCCAGGACAGCGTCAAGGCGGCCAGCGCGGCCCTCAAGGCCAAAGTGGCGGCGGCCAGCCGCGCCGGCGGCAGCTACAACATGTCGCTCAAGGACGCCGACAAGGGCGTGGTGACGCGCTTCCTTCCGGAGCCGAGCGGCTACCTGCACATTGGCCACGCCAAGGCCGCGCTGCTGAGCGACTACTTTGCGCGCCAGTACAAGGGCACGCTCAAGCTGCGCCTCGACGACACCAACCCGTCCAAGGAGAAGGAGGAGTTCCAGGACGCCATAATCGAGGACCTGCGCCTCATGGGCATCCGGCCCGACACCCTGTCGTACACGTCCGACTACTTCGACTACCTGTACGCCATGGCCCTGCGCCTCATCCAGGAGGGCCACGCGTACGCCGACGACACCGACCAGGACACCATGCGCGACCAGCGCATGAACGGCGTCGCTTCGCAGCACCGCGACCGCCCCGTCGCGGAGACGCTGCAGATTTTCACCGAGGAGATGAAGAACGCCACGGCCGTGGGCGCCAAGCACTGCATCCGCGCCAAGATCTCCGTCGACGACAACAACAAGACGCTGCGCGACCCCGTCATCTACCGCGTCAACGTCGAGACCGCCCACCACCGCACCGGCACCGCCTGGAAGATGTACCCGACGTACGACTTTGCCTGCCCCGTCATCGACAGCCACGAGGGCATCACGCACGCCATGCGCTCCACCGAGTACACCGACCGCAACGCCCAGTACCAGTGGTTCCTCACCACCCTGCAGCTGCGCCAGGTCCACCTGTTCGACTTTGCCCGCATGAACTTTATCCGCACGTTCCTGTCCAAGCGCAAGCTGGCCAAGCTCGTCGACACCGGCCGCGTCTGGGGCTGGGACGACCCGCGCATGCCCACCATCCGCGGCGTGCGCCGCCGCGGCATGACCATCCCCGCCCTGCGCGACTTCATCCTCAAGCAGGGCCCCAGCCGCTCCGTCACCACCATGGAGTGGGGCGTCTTCTGGGCCGCCAACAAGAAGGAGATTGACCCCGTCGCGCCCCGCCACACCGTCGTGTCTGCCAAGGACGCCGTCAAGGTCACCGTCACCGGCGCCGACGCGCCCGCGGCGCCCCAGTCGGTCGAGAAGCCGCTGCATCCCAAGAACAAGGACGTCGGCACCAAGCAGGTCGTCTTCTCGTCCGAGATTTTGCTCGACCAGGCCGACGTCAAGCTCATGAAGGTCGGCGAGGAGATCACCCTCATGTCCTGGGGCAACGCCATTGTCAAGGACATCCAGACCGGCACGGATGGTGTCGTGACGGCCGCGACCGTCGAGCTGCACCTCGCCGGCGACGTCAAGAAGACGGAGAAGAAGGTGACCTGGCTGTCGACGGCCGGCCAGACGCTCCTCAAGGGCGAGGCGTGGGACTTTGATTACCTGCTGACCAAGAACACGCTGACCGAGGACGACGTGCTCGAGGACTGCCTAAACCCCGTGACCGCCACCGAGGAGGACGTGCTGGGCGGCGCCAACATGAAGGACCTCAAGAAGGACGACATCATCCAGCTCGAGCGCCGCGGCTTCTACCGGGTAGACAAGGGCCTGGGCGACTGGGCCGAGGGCCAGGCCGGCGAGAAGGGCGCGCGGATCGTCATGTTCCTGATTCCCAGCGGCAAGTCGACGTAGAGGCAAAAACTGCGCCGTGTATGAGATGACGATGGTGGAAAACAAAATTAAAAATGCAAAGCATGGCTTGTGGCCCGGGAGGATGGGGACCTATACAAAAATCAAAAATTCAATCCAAGGCGGTTAAACTGGACGTGAAATTGTCGGCCGTGTCAGGGTATCGTGATAAAACTATAAACTGAAATCCAAACCAACCCCAAAATTCCAGCATCTAAAATCCGAATCCAAAATGCAAACCCAAATGCCAAACTTGCGAACCATTCTAATCGCTCTAAATACAATGAAATAACGGATGTATACCAAAAAGAATGAGTCATGATAGATGATAGACGATATACGATAGACTGGTAGTGGGAGGCTCTCCTACTCCCCTGCTTTCTTTTCCTTGGACTCGGGCACCTGCGGCAGACGTACTTCGACCGGACTCGCCGCCAGCGAAGTCGCAATCGACGGGCTGCTCGGACTACCCACATCATGGTGACCAATGTACTTGCGGGACGACGTGTTGAGGGCAGGGGCCTGAGGGCGATGCGCAGCAACGGGCGACGTCTTCACGGTCCCGGTGTCTTTGCCCTTGGCAGGGCCTGACGACACGTTCGTCACAGCCTCGGCCGCCGTAACCGCCGGCGACGACACAGATATCGTCGGGCTGGCCACCATCTGCGTAGGTGAGGACACCGTCACGGCCGCCACCATGGGATTCTCACGCTCCGTCGGCAGCGGGGAGAACGGCGGCGGCACATGGCGGCTGCCACCGCCAAAGCTTGTCCGCAGGACGGCCGGTGACGGCGGTGCTATGTTGTCGTTGCCGTGCACGCTGTACGTGTTGGAGGACCGGTAGTTGAAGTAGTCGTCGCCAAGGCTGCTCTTGCGTCCACCGTCGACATTCGACGGCCGGCCATCCATCTCCATCGCCATCCCGCCAGCCACGCCCGCCTCGCCGGTCTCGGCGGCGTGCTCGCGCATGACGGCACGCACGTCGCGGTCGTGCTCGATCTGCTGCACGAGGTCGAGGTCCGTCGGCGCGACGGCACGGCGGACGCCGTTGATGATGAGCTCAAAGACCAGGACGGCCGCCAGCGCCAGGATCAGCGTGACCCACCAGATGCCTTGGCGGCCAAAGTCGTGCAAAAAGGTGCCGTGGACGAGGTAAGCGCTGGGCTTGGCGGCGTAGACGCCGGACAACAAGAGCGACCAAACGAACCAGCCACCCACTGACACCAACAAACCAACAGCTGAGATGATTGTCTGGTTGTGCATCTCCAGGACAAGCATTTTGATGTTGATCAGCATGATGCAGACCGAAAACGCCAGACTGCCCATGGCGTACAAACTCGTGTCACTTGTAAACAGCATGGTGGTGTAGACTGCGTACAAGATGTAGAAGATGAGCAAGGCCTCGAGTACACCAGTGACCGTCCATCCGACGTACTTGCGGAAACAGAAGCCCAGATTGCGCTGTCCATACGTGTAGAGCTCGGGTACCGCGAGGAGCGTGTCGGCGCGCAGGTCCTTTTCAAAGATACCAAAGAGAATGACGGGAAGTGATGTGAAGAGCGTGTTGAAGACGGTCAGACTGGTAGACTCGTACAACGAGGTACCCGTGTAGCCGTTGTAGCGCTGGTACAAGGCCTGGACGAGGTAAAAGACCATCTCCTTCCAGAACGTGCCGAGAATGTACTTGCCGGTGCGCGCGTAGTTCCAGCGGCCGTGCACGAGAAGCAGGCGCTGTAGGAAGCGGAACTGGGCAATCGAGTAGTCCGAGATGCGCGCGGCCTGCAGGCCCTCGCGGCCCGAAATGCCAATGCCAACGTGCGAGGCCTGGATCATGGCAATGTCGTTTGCGCCGTCGCCAATGGCCAGCGTCATGGACGAGGGCACGCGCTGGCGAATGCACTTGACCAGCGTTGCTTTTTGCGAGGGCGACGCGCGACAGCAGATGACCGAGTCGACGCGGGCCACGAGGTCGAAAAACAGAATCCGCATCTCCTCTTGGGCCTCGACGACACTGAGCGTGTGGCCGTCAATGACAACGACCGAGTGCGGCGTCATACCGCGGCCGACGTCGACGAGCGTCGACGCGATCCGCTCCTGCAGGTGGTCCTGGTCAATTAAGGCGTCGAGCACATAAATCTCCGAGAAGGGCTTGCAGATACGGGCGGCATGCGCAATGTTGATGGCGGTCTCGCGCTTGTCTCCCGTCAGCATCCAGATCTTAATGTTGGCACGGCGCATCTTGTCGATCGTCTCGGGCACACCCTGCTGCAGCTTGTCCTCGATGGCCGTGGCCCCGGCCAGGTCGAACCCTTGCTCGATCAGATCGGCGGCGGCCTCGATGCGTTCCTGGCGATTGACCAGCGACGTGGTGGCGTCCTGGTACAGCGTGCGCCACTTGCGATAGTCGTCCTCCTCGACGTAGCGATAGGCAAAGAGCAGCGTGCGCAGGCCCTCGGAGGCAAAGTCGTCAATGTGCTGGAAGCAGCGCTCAAACACGGCGCCTTCGTTGATGGCAATGGACTCGTCAACCATGCCGCTGTACGGGTCGGCATAAAGACTCTCCGCTGCCGCCACAGCGGCAATGCTGCTGTCATGCGACCACTGGCGCTGCTGTTGGCTCAGACCGCCACCGGGGCGACGGCTTCCCTCTCCACTGCCACCATTGGACGAGCTGCCGGCGAGCACGTCGTCGACAATGTCCAGGTCCTCGCGCTCACGGCGCCGCAGCCAGTCGTCGATGTCGCCCGAGATCACAGCCGAGCGGCGGTGGGCATTGTCCACCGACTTCTTGCCGGTGCTGAGGCGCGGCAGGTTGCGGAACTGGTGCATGGACGCGGCGCGGACGAGGTTCATGCTGGAACGGGGCGTGGACATTCCCCCATTGCCGACATTGCCGCCGCCGTTGATGCTGATCGTCGTGCTCCTGCGCATCATGGCGCGCTCCTGCTCGACACTCTTGCGCTTGCTGGCACGGCGCTCGACAGCACTGGCCTTGGCCAGGGCCATGTGGTTGAGCTTGAGGCGTGGCAAAATGACGCTGTCGGCGCCCTTGCAGAACATGCAGATGCGGCCGTCGGGCATGCGGATGACGATTGTCATGCGCTTGCGCTTGCTGCTGAACTCGATGACGTCCAAGACTTGGTAGGTCTCGGTGACGGACGAGCCGTCGAGCTGGTGAAACTGCAGCTTGATGGATTGACCTGGGCGGTCAATGAGCAGGTAACCGAGGTCGCGTGCGGCCTGAACAAGGGCCAGCTCGTCGGGAGACGCCGCCTGAAAGTCGATCTCGCCACTGGCGGTCTTCTCTGGTATACAGGTGTGGCAGAGGGCGATGCACAGAATAAAATGGCGTGCCTTGCGAGAGAATGCCGTATGAGGGCGGCGTCGGATGTACTGGATGAGGTCCTCCGTCTTCAATTCATGCTGCGGGCGGGATGGACGTGCGGTCGACCGCCAGGCTGAAGACATGGAACGGCGCGGAGCCTCAAACTCAATCGCGGTCGAGTTGCGAGGGTTGGTGGGCACCTCGCTCACAAAGGACGGTGTCCCAGGCGACTTGGCAATCGGCAGGTGGGCGTTGGAAGGCGAGGGCGAAGAAGACATCCGACCAAACGACATGGGCTGCTCGTACAGCTGTTGTTGCGACTGCTTGCCTTCCACCTTGCTGGGCCGGTGGCGGCTCGAGGACCGGGCACGCTTGCTCTTCTTGCCCCGGTGCCGCAGCTGCCGCCGCTTGCGTTCCTTCTCGTCCTCGTCGCGGGCAATGTCCATGTCATGCAGCCAGGCCGTTCCGGCAACGCTCATCTTGCGGAAGCGCATCTTGTTCTCGGTCAAGGTGCCGGTCTTGTCCGAAAAGATGTAGCTGACCTGGCCGAGGTTCTCAAGGATGGTCGTCGTGTTGGCAATAAAGGCCGTGTCGGTGTCCGGGTCGTACATCTCCGTGTCGGCAAGCAGGTACAGCTGGCCAATCTTGATGATTTCCAGACTGACGTACAGCGAGAGCGGAATGAGCGTGTTGAACATGATGATGAACGCGAACAAGATCTGGCTGAGCGGCAGGTTGGCGCCGGCCAAGTACCAGGCATGGTCAGCAAAGTTCGAGACCCAGATGCCGTTGCCGACGGAGCAACCGACAGACAGCAGAACAACAAATATGACCAGCAGGATGACTATACGGTTGACAACGGACTGCATGGCGGGGGCCTTGGCGCGCTTGTGGCGGTGGGCATTCATGCGGATCTTGCACTCCTCGCCAGAGTTGACCACGAGGCCAATCATGTCCGCCGTGTTGCGCACAACCGAGCCACGAAAGACAACCTGGTTGAGGGTCAGCGGCATCGCCTCGCCGTTGACCAGGACACGGCCTTCGTAGTTGTAGAGGTCCAGGTTAGGGTCCTCGGACACAATTTCGGCACCACAAGCGGCCATGCCGGCAAGCGACTCACAATGCTCGGAGAGCAACGCGCAGGCCTGCTTCGTCTTCAAGTTGGTCTCGCCATCGAGAGCCATGGTCTCAATGTAGGCGATGCCGTTGGGGCCAGAGGCGTGCAGAACAATCATATCGGCTGGGACAGGGTCGTCGCGGCGCAGGCGCACAACGTCACCCACACGCAGTTCCTGCCATTGCACGGCCGACCAGGGCATGCGGCCGATAGCACTGTTGTCCTCGTCTGCGCGCGGAGATTGGACGCGGTCGAGGTCGGCAGCGACGTTGGCTGATGTTACTGTACGGAGGGGGACGCTGCCGGCGTCGACGGCGCCAATCACACCGATTCCACCAGCCTCATCCGCGTCGTTGGTGCCAGTAGCAGTGACCGCTTGGCGGGCAGACTTGGTCCACCTCTGTGACCGGAATTTTTGCCAGGCGTTGTCATTTTTGGATTTCTCGCTAGCAACGGCCTGCACAGTATGGCCCGGGTCCAGGACATATGCCGTGCTGCGGTTCTCCACCCGGTCGAGGCGGTAACGGCGGTAGTCGTCATAGCCCTCTTTGAACATACTGATGGCGACGAAGAACAGCAGGGGCGCAATGGTGGTGTAGGTGCCGGTCGAACTCAGGCCGGGGATCATCTGCAGGATGGAGATGATAAGAAAATAAAAGTTGGCTAGCTTCATGAACTGGAAGACAAGCTGCTTGGGCAAGAAGTCCCAGACAGTGTATCGGCTCGAGCGAATAAAGTTGGAGATGTATGGCTTGCCGGAGCGTTCGTCGGTGTAGGGTGTGGTGCGAACGTGGCCCGGGTCCAGCTGAATGTGGCGGCCGTCGACGCTCGGCGGCAAGGGACGCTGGCGGAGCAGGCCCTCGATAATGTATTTTCGGTACATGCCGGCGGTCCTGCTCTTGAAACGATAGTATGGGCCGGTCGTCCATCGTCGCTGGCGCTCACGCTGGCGGTCCAGCCAGTCCCGGTAGTGGGCCAGAGTATCGCTCGCATCGGTGACACGGGTGTTGGTCGAGGACGACACGGCCGAGGCCTTGACAGGCCCGTCAAAACTCTCACCGTCGGTCAGGCCCAGACGCCTGCGTGTGATGGAAGTCCGCGGCGGCTCGACGAAGCTGACGCCGCTCCGTCGTCCCAGCTGAACGGCTGGTGATTGAAGATGCCCATCGCCATACTCAGGTAATCGCCGCCGTACCTGAGGCGATACCAAGGTGGCCGCTGAGGAGCCGTCGTCTCGCACAGGCGAGGTAATGATTGCCAGGGCGCCGCCTTTGCCTGTCCCTTTCTTTGCAGCTGCGCCGTCTGCGCCGTTGGCTGTTGGAGCCGGGCCTTCAACATTGGACTGGATCGTGTATAGATTCGTGTTCAATCGTAACGACGGAGGGTTCTGTTGTGAGGAGGAGGAGGAGGAGGAAGCGGCGGCGGGTGGAAATCGAGCTGCAAGAGCAGAAGACGAAGAGGGCGAGAGGGAAGTATGGTTGTCTGTGTGCCGCAACGCCGATCGTGGTGTCGAAGTCGGTTGCGTGGCTAATGGTGGAAGGGTAGGCTGTACAGGTTGTGACGACTGTGTCGGCGATTGTGCTTGTGGCTGGGAGTGTTGCCGCTCGTCGTTATTCGGCTGGTCCCGCAGCGTCGTGTCACGAAGAATGTCTTCAGAGAAGCGAATGCGCGCTGCAATGGCCGCGGCGTCGGCAGCAGCCGCGTCGTCGGCGCTGCGGCGGCCCGCCATGGCGGTCTGTTGCTGACGCAGCCGGGGCGGTTGTCGTCCGTGTTAGCAAAAGGACGATGTGTCACAACGATCGCAGTCCGGGCAGGGTCGATTGACGTCCGAGTGTCGCTCGATGCGAGGGTGTAATAGTCGGTCGTATCGTGAATATGATGCCGAGAAAAAGGTTCGAAGTCGTCTCTCGTCCGAACTGAGAAAAAAGAGAAGCACGCACGCGACAAAAGGCGGCGAGGAAATGGGGACACAACAACACAATAAAACCAGATGCGTAGGCAACGTGTGTTGTACGAACAACACCCGTTGATGCAAGGAGAATGTAGGCACGAAGAATGCAGAGAACGGGCTCCGGAGATGCCAAGACCAAGAGTGAAGAAATGCAGAAACGAATGTTGACAGTGTGGGATAGCGCTGCAAGACGATCGCTGTGAGACAATGACAAAAGGAGGAGACACAACGCCGGAGAACGGAACTTGCCTCTTTCGTCTCGACCGTGCCCCGTTTTTTTGGAGTCTTTTGACTTAGAATACGTCGAAGATCGAGACGTAACAGTGAGAGACAATTCAAGACGAGTCCTGCCAGGCTGCAAATGCAAAAGAATGAGCCGGAGGTGCATGGGCCAGGCTGTTTTGGTATTGGTTCCAGGGTCGTAAACGGCCGCCGTCGAAAGGGGAAGGAGACGTCGAAAAGGAGGGAATATGCCTACATACAGTGTGAATGCTGAAGGAGGTCGGATTAGCGGCTGATTGATGGCTGCGCCTCTGCGTTAATGCACTGTCTTTCTAAATTCAGGTCTCGGAGGGATTGGACACGAGGTCGGTCACTGGGGCTGATTGGGCTAGGCTTGGGCGGGCGTCTCGTTCTCTGTTGCTCGACTTATTCGACTTGTTCGATTATGTTGGGTTCCATAAGAGCGGGGCTAGGCAGCGGGTGAAGAGGTATCGAAAGTCAACGCCTTGACCAGGCTGTTTCGCCCCCTTGATCTTGGCTTGATTCAATTATGCTTGCTTGAGGTAGTCCAGAACCAACAACTTCTCCGATGCATCAACGACAGGCTCAAAATTGACCATGCACTTTGCTTTACGGCGAGTGCGTCGTACGGCGCAGATGTAACTGTCGAAAGGTCTGTCGTCCACAATCACAAATGTCCAGAAGTGGTCGTCACCTTGGCTGTGACAGCGGAAACAGATACTTGGTCGGGAATCGTTATCAGAAGAAGCCGGGCAAGGAGGGCGAAGAGGACCAGCAGTGAGATCGCGCAGACAAGCACAAAGGCCAACCGGGCAGGCGGTCTGCTGGGAGGCGTTGTCGAGGTCGCCTCAGCCGGGCTGAATGTTGTCTCGCTCGAGTGTCTCGGTTCTCTGGACTCTCTGGACTCTCTAGTCTGCCTGCGTTGTCTCTTGCTACTGCTGCGGCTCGCAGGTTCGAGAGGGACTGACTCGTAAGACGGAAGCACGTTGTTGGCGTTCTGCCGGACGCCGGATGCCATTCTTTGGCAGATGCTCCGTGGCACGAAGTGACGTTTGTTGATGGAATTGGAGAAGGACAAAAAGGGGCCGACAAGGGAATCGTGGCATATCAACACGGAAAGAGCTCGACACGCATAACGATGCACATGGCATGCACGGAGGACTCCTTCCTTTTATGAACTGCAGTCACTGGGAAGCTGTAGTAGATGGAGCAGGTGCGATTCAGGTGCGATCTTCAAACGCTGCCCTCGCTCTTACCATTTCTGGTATTCTCTGTCGTCTGTTTCCTATTCTGAAGCATTCCGCATCCGTTCTTTACGCGTTCTCTGTATGATTCCATAGAATTTGGTCTCCATTCTGCTTTCTTCAGGGAAGTTTGCCAAGAACGTAGACCAGACGACCCGATGCATATCTTGTTCTGCGTTGCTTTTTTTGGTTACTCTTGGCATCCGAAGATGGACATCGGAAGTGAATTTCACTGTCAAAATCGCCGCCCGCAGTGCGATTCCGACACAGACGGACTTTTCAATTGAGGCTCAACACGCCGATTGGTCTATCCGCAGTGCGGCCCGAAAGACTGCCGATGCCAAAAGACCTCAGGGCGCGGCAACCCATCGGCCGGCAACAAGCTTGAGACGGAGGTGTGTAGGACGGTTCGATTTGTAAGGCGGTGCAGAAAATGTATAGAACCTTGCGTTTTTAGGCGCGTTTCGTATGTCGTTTCTTACTATTTTTTATTTATTTGTTGCGCTTTTTTTACCGAGATGACATGTTACAGAATCTTGACATCTTTTGTTCCTTTCTAAATTACATGTAGCTTCCCGGCACAATTCCTGTTGGCTTATGAGGAGACCTCTATTGATTGCCTTGTTGTAGCGGCACAATCGTAATTCCTGTTCACGATGTTTCATTCGAAGGTTACACGTCTGCCTGTCGTGTTTGCATATTCGTCCTGCAGTGGTTGTCAAAAAAATGGAGCGGCGCAGCATGGTCGGGACCTTCCATAGCTTCTGGATACATGACTCTTTCATGTCCGTGCTCATCCATACGGGCGTATCCTACAGCACGGCACAGAATCTGCGCCCGTTTGCGAGCTATGCCAGTTATCAATGGGCACTATGGCCGAGCTGACATTTACAAAAATAGATCTTCGGTACAGCTGGCATGTACTCTGTACGCCGTAAGCTGTCGTTCGCCTCAAACAAACGTTACAAGCCAAGCCGAAATGTCGCTGCCTAGCGAAGCATCATCAACAGTGTTGCCCAGCTCGTGTCTATCAAACCAGCCAAGGAACCGTCACAAAACTGGCATACCTGGCTCGGAGCTGGAAGCAAAAGCGAAAAGTCCTGCTCTCCCATGCGACGTCATCAGCGTTGAACCAGAACCAAGATTTGCAGGGATGGCTGTGAGGATTGAAGACAGTTGGGGTCAAACAAAGAACGCCCACGTCATGAGTTAATATAGTCGCAGGCGTAAACAAATAAACTCAGTTACATTGTTTGACGAAAATAAGATACGAGACAAAAAAAGGGAAGCGACACTCTTAAAAAAGAAAGATAAAAAAATTGGACGGGCTGGGAATCGAACCCAGGACCTTTCGCAGATTCGAAGGCCGTAGTGGTTATACCACTAAACCATGCGAAGCGAACGTTATACCCCTAAACCACACGCCCTTGCTGATTGTTAAAAGAATGAGGTGGTTTAGATCTTATATAGCCAGGCCCCGTCGTTTTCGCGCGACGGCCTACGTAATCAGCAACCACCACAGCTTGTTTTGCACTGTGCGGACTGTACTCCACACGACAGGGCCTCCACTGCGCCAAAGTGAGGCAAGAGAACATCGACAGAAGGACAGAACAAAGCAGCCGCAAGGCACTAAAGTAGCAAAACGTTCGGCGTGGCAACGAGACCAAAATAGAAACAGGCGATCAGCGACCAGCAAATCGTAGGCGACCAAGTGCAGAAAGAGGGGAGAAAAAGAGGCAAAAAAGCACTGTTCACCTTACGAATAAAACCTGCACACACTCGGCGCAATGGAGGCGGCCATAAAGACATCACATTTTGCTAGGCAACTCTCTGACATGGAAAATGTACAAATCTCCAGGGATCTCATTCGGTGGTCAGCCAAGGGACCGGAAACAGACCAAAAGGGGCGTCGAGCAAAGAAAGGCCAACACATAGAACATACCTCGTCATCTACGGTTTTGGCAAGGCAATGTGAAGTCGACATACAAAAACGCCGGCCAACCGCGCAGACTCTTTTATGCGGAATGGAAGAGTGCCACGACTGCATAACGGCAACACAAAGCACCATTGCAATTGTCCGTTGGACAGAATTTATCCAGGTCCCTTCATTTCGCCATTCTTTTGCGTTTCTAGAATATTGCCCTTTCTCCACAAAGCCCAAGGGCTCCTTTTTGTGCTGTGCCGTCCCTGCGTCCGATGTTACCAGATAGAGTGCTTCATATAGTGCCAACAGTCCGGGGCGTCCGTGTCATATGCCACACCAGATATTGACGCGGCTGTGGACATGGGGCAAAGCATCGCCCGTCCTCCATTTTGACTACGGAACGGCCAGAATACAAGCGCAAAATACATAAAATATTGCGGCGTATGATTTACAACATATGCAAACACACAACGCTAATGATCGAATTTAGGGAAGCGAGGCCGTGCCGTTTGTTTGTGCCGTGATGTTAAGAAAGGCAGGCCGGGCGTGTCTCTATACAAAGTATTACTACGCGGATGGGACAGAATGCACTTCATACGTGTGCCCCCTATTCATAATTGAAACAAAGAGCGTTCCTCGTTGGATACGCTCTTGCTAAAATCAACATCTGTATCGCAATCTACAAAACAGAGAATAGGTCTTTTAACACTTTTGTATTGTACTAGGTAAAAGAATATCCACGATAACTAACAGGATAACAAAGTGTGGAACAAACCAAAAACCAAACTCCTTCACAAGACAGTTCGCTGAGATACACACAAAAGAAGAATGAAGAAAAAGGAAAACAAAAGACACAGGGCCAGAAATACGTCTTGGCTCCAATGCGTCGTTCCCTTGAGGAAATAGAAAACAGTAAACACCCAAGAGCGATAATATTAAAACAAGCAATACCTCAACAGTAAAAAAAACCCGAGCCACCTGGGCCATTTTTTTCCATCCTTCACATGATACCCATCTCCCCGCCCCAATTCACACATTCCCCTCGTCCTGCTATTCTTCCAAGCAGCAGAACGAAAATCGAGGAATAAATAAATAAAAATGCCGGCCAATGGCGATGGTCAACAGCCATCCCACCGGGTATTAAATGGTGCGCCAACCGGAAAGTTCGGCTTAGGACGTTCAAGGGACATTAGAGAACTCCAAACCAAAAAAAAATATATATATATCGAATAATCAAAAGGACGCTGTAGGTATAGAAACCCTATTAAATCAAAAGTAAGACGAACAGCAATATGCAGGCGGAGCGGTCAAAAACGGATGAGAAGGGTAAGAGCGAAGGGAGAAGAAAGCAAAACAGAAAAAGAAATAAAGCTAAAAAAAATGTATGTACGATCGCTGTGCCCAGACATGCATGATCGAGATCCGAATGTAGGTTATCGTCATGCAGATTCGTGGCGGACAAAGAAAAATGATAAGATAGGAAATAGTTTGGTCAAAAGGAATGACTGGTCTTGCCAATCGTCTGCCTCGGGGAACAGAGCAAAAGGACAAAACGTAATAATAATAGAGTGGTTGATGGTTCGGTGGCAGGGGCGAAAAGAGAGCAACAATAAAACGCCGGTCTCAACAAGAGACGAACAAAAACGCAGACTGCGGGTATATGAACGTAAACGAAGCTGAAAAAGAAGCAGTATGCAATAAGAAAACAGAAAACGCTGCCACGTTTATTAGGTAGCATGTCTCCCAGAGTAGCGGAAACAAAAGTCGATAATTCACCCAAAACTTGTGAATCATGGCGTTCGTTTCTCATGCTGCTGCCGAATGAGGAGGCAGGCTCTCGGGAGACAGACTTGCGGCGTCGACTGGGTCAAATTGCACAAGCTGGCTCATATCCAGCTCGGCTTGGTTGTCCGTATACTGGCCGGGCGAATGCGGGTGCAGCGGGAGGTTGATCGAGTGCTTCGAGTACATGTCGTTGAGGTTGCCTCCGTCGTCCGAAATGGCCGAAGAGTCGCCACCGCCGTTCAGCGGGTGGTAGATGTCAGCCGATGCGCTGCGGCCCATCATCGTCATAGGCGGTGACTGGTCGACAATAGCAGGATCGGAACGGCCAGCAAAGGACAGCGGCGACACCGACGGCGGAGGAACCATGCTCTGGGCGCCCATCATGGGCGACAGGAAAGTGGTGCTGTACGGCGTGTTGTAGCTCGAGGCTGGTAGGCCAGCGTTGTCACTACCAGGCGGCGCGAAAAAGTTGGGGCTTGAGCCGTACTCGGAAGGCGAGGGCGCTGTCGTGGCCGACATGGGGTACTGGCGCATGTCCAGGCCGAAGCCGGCCTGAGTGTCGATCCGCAGGTTAGAGCCCGCAGGGCTCAGGCCGTTGGGGTTCTGCGGCACGGGCGCATAAATGCTGGGGCTGTGAGGCTGCGGCTGCGTCTCGCCGGGATGCTGGATGTAGAACGACGGCATCGGGGTCTGCAGCATTGAGAAGTCAATAGCCATGGGAACCGACCGAGACCGCTGCCGTTTGTGACCGGGGCCCGACCGCATACCACCAGCAGAGTGCATGGCGTTGATGCCCCATTGCGACTCCTGGAACACGCCCACATGGGGCTGCAGGAAGTTGGGCTGCGATGACGGACGCCCGGTGGGCGAGACGGGTGCCGAGACGGACAGGTTGTGAGCGGCCGCGTCCAGCGGGATGGGGGCGACGAGGGGAACAATAGGGCCACCGGGCGTCGTGGCAGCAGCAGACGCAGCGGCGGCAGCAGCAGCGGCAGCAATGTTGTGAGGGTTGTGAGGGCTGTGGCGGGTCATAAAGGTCTCGAGCGAGATGAGCTTGGCCAACTGGCCACTCAGAACCTTGGGGTTGCCGCCGAGCTGATGCACAAGGCACTGGGACGCCTGCTGGTTCTCGGTGAAGTCACCGCAGACACTGAAGCCGCTGCCGTTCGGGGTGCAGTCCATCATAAAGGTGGGCGGCTGGTTCAGCTCGATGACGATACCGCCGGACTTGTTTGGGTCCTCCTCCTGGTCCAGGTAGATATGCTTGATGTACGAGAACGGGTACTCGATCTTGTAGCCGGCGTTCTCATTGTTGATGTAGTACGTCATAGTGCCGTTGTGGGGAGAGTAGAAGATGATCAGGTCCATGGTGTTCTGACCAACGCGAACCCACTTGCCAATGCTCAGAGACCGGCATGTGAGATGGTGGATCACTGAAGCGAGACAGAAAGTGTTAGAGCACCGTCGCGCGTTAAAAATAGGGGTAGCGTTAAAAAGAGTCAACATACAAAGTTTGCCCTGGTTAGCGTGCTCCCCACCGAGGAGCATACCAGGACCGTAGCCCATGAGGCCGGTGCGGCCGTAGAAAGCACCACCGAGGCCCTTGCCGCTCTCAGCAGCCTGCATGGCCAGATAGGCACGCATCGACTCGGGAATGAGGTCAATGTCCTCGCCAGTCTCGATGCTCTTCTTCGCGAGCAACTTGATCTTAGCACGGCTGTGTTGTCTAGTTAGCGATATGCTCCGGATTGATCATTGGCTTAGAAATACGTGGTAGAATGCTGTCAACGTACCGGTTCTGGAACCAGATCTGGACAGACCTTTCGGTCATGTTGATCTGCTCCGCGATCGCGTTCCGTGTCTCGGCGTTGGGGGTGGGATTCTTGTTAAATTCCAACTCCAGCGTTGTCAGCTGATCTTGAGTCGCCCGCTGCCGCTTCTGGTTCTTCTGCTGCTGCGTCAGCGTGCTCTTGCGAGCAGGGCGTTTCGAAGAAGAGGCGCTCTGGCTGGTTGCGGATGCCGACGGCGAAGGAGTCTGAGAGCTCTTGGTCGTGATGGCGGAGTTGGGGGTTGGCATGGGCGCGGCGCAGGAGGACTGATTAGGCGTAGAAACCTTGAGGTTCATGTTCATAGGGGGCTGCATCGGGGCAGACTGGCCCATGTCATGGCCCACAGACAGAGGCATCATCATGCCTGGATGCATTGGCATCTCAACCTTGATGTCAGTCGCCATTTCGGGAGACTGTGGTGGAAGCTGGCAGATCAGGATCTTTGGTCTTTCGTAGTTTATCAAATTGCCAAGATGGTGTACGCGTCTTCGAAAGCAAAAGAGTGGCGAAAAGCTCCTTGATTAGGCGGTGGGTTGTCGAGAAAGAGGGACGTTTGACTCAGTTGCGTGTATCTCTGCAGCGAAAGTTGGATTTGCTTGGCAGAACACGACGTCGGGGGTGAGGCAAATGATAGGTTGAGGCGAGTTCGCTGTGACTTTCGTGTAGATAGGGATTGTTCGATTGGATACCGGAATGTCGAAGCGAGAAAAGAGTGCCGACAATAGTGAACAAAATGTTGCAAATGAGCGTGGTCCCGAGTTGGTGATGCAACTGGGAAACTGTTTTGAGGACGAGATAGAAATCACTTGTGATAAGAATAGATCGATAGCACAAGTAACTGCTAGAAGAAAAGGCCGTTCACCAAAAAGAGAGGTGGTGGACGAAATAAAGTTGGATCTCAAGCCGAAAGAATGTAGTGGAATAGATGCCGAAATGAGCGGATGGATGGGGGGTCAAGCGAGAGTCCTGGGCTGAAAAAAGAACGATGGGATTTACATGTAAGAGAACGACTGTGGTGAGAACAAATGAATGTGTGATAAATGAGCGAACGAAAAGAAAAGCAAGAAAAGAAAGACACAACAAAGAGAGTGAGAGAGATATGTCGACAAGAACGACCACGATGGATGAGGAAAGGAGAGGGGAAGAAGAAAGAAAGAAAAAAAAAGGAAAGGAAAGGTCAAGAAGGAGAAGAGAGACGAAGAGGATAGGGATGGGATAAGGGAAACGGGGCACCACAAAAACGAAAATCCTGAAGGGGGGGTCCCAGGAAACAAGCAGCCTGATCGACTGTCGACAGAGAATAGGAGCCAGCAGAAGAGCCGACCAACCTTCAGACTGGCAGACACAAGACGAAGGGAGGGATGGGATCTTGGGGGGTGGGGGCGTGTGGGCGCTGGTCTTGGTCGAGGGGGGTCGACAGGCAAAAGGGAAAAGGGGAAAAGGGAAAAGACGGAGAAAGTGGGCCGGTCGTTCGAAAGGGCGGCTCCCACTGGGCAGACACCTCCACCAGATGCGTTGCATCGAACACGAAAGCAGCACGAAAAGGCAAAGCAGATTTCCACTAGGAAAGCTGTAAGTCGTCGTGCTCAAGTGCGACCGTGAGCCAGAGAAAGTATTCCATCATGCTGACAGGCAGCAGTGACGGGATCATGATCGTCAAAGATGTCGGACGAAGAAAGAAACGAAGAGAGAAAACAAACAGCTCACGAAACTGAGCCTTGTCTGACGCTGAGGCTTGCCCAAACACTCTCATCCTTTTCTCCCTCCCACAAAGAAACAGGAACACGACAAGCAGCGGTGCTCGTTGGCGGGTCGAACCAGCAGGTCAGGCATCTACTGCCGTGTTCCTATTTCTGTCTCTGTCTCTGCCTCGCCCTGTTCCTTTCCCCTTGTCCCGCACTATCGCCGTCGTTGTCGTTGTTGGCGCGGCTTTCTGCAGTCGCCCTTTCCACACCTGTGCATGTTTGGCCCTGGCCTGGCGGCAGTCTATTCACCCCCCAGCAGAGGCGTGAGATGCCCGTGAGACGCAGACTCCTGTCAGGTGCAGCAACGTGCAGACCGTCTGCAACGCATTGTACTAGACACCGCTTGTGTTCCTGCGTCGTTCCTGCAGTAGGCAATTCCTGCTGCATGAGTGTGTGGGAATACGGAGCCATACTCCGCGCTCCGTACATCGTTACCCGGTACGAGAAGCGTGTGCAAACAGCGGTGTTGAAGATTCGAATCGGAGTCAGTGGCCAGCGTCAACGGCGGCAAGAAGTCGTCTCGCCCAGAAGCAGCTCGCTGTGCGTCTCGCACCATCTGCACAGACTCTCTGTTGTTGACTGAGCTCCTCACCACCACTAAGGTTCCGTTCTGTTCCTGGCTAATGAACAGCGCTACTGGATAGTGGCCAACGTTCGGTCGGTCGCGTCCTTGGTGGGAATCCAATGTTGCTCAGACCTTTCCGTAAAAGGAAAGGCTCCAAAGCCCTGCTCCCTACAAAACGGATCAGACGCTCACCCGAAAGGAGCTGGGCGCCTTTCAACAGACCGACAGCCGTGCTACTCCAGCGAGCATAGAAGGGTTTGCCACCCAAAATACCCACCGGAGTAGGACAGGGGCATCTTGCTGTGAGTTCGTTTTCTTGGTTCTGTCTCGATTCTGGTTCGTTCGTGTTCTCCGCCGTTTTGTGTACCTGCATTGGCCGTTCCTACGACGTAAATTCTGACCAACCAACTGTCTCCATCACCATGCACCTGTCGTCAAGGCTGCACAAGCAAATCCTGGTTTCCGTTCCTTGTCAGACACCTGCCCTCCAAACTCGCATTTTGACTGGGCCCTCGGCTGGCCTTGTTTTGTGGTCAGTCTTGTAACTCTTGTTCCTGTGCTCTGTCCTGTGGCGCGTCGTGTTGGTCGTGCCTGCACCGAGGCGCGTGCATTGTGTTTGTGCTCTTCAGTCCAAAGTACCCGCCCGTCGCCGCTTTTACCTGACCGCCGACTGGCCCTACCACACCATCTGCTGCAACGTTGGGCCGTCCTTTCTTGGTTTCTGGTTGGTGAGACGGGTAGAGTTGGGGTGGTCAGCATACCATCCCTTCACACCCTCTTCTCGTGCGCACCTTTGGTGATGCAGAGCCGTGAGGAACGAATAGCGAATCAAGGAAGGACGAGCAGGCCAAGCTATGTTCAGCACATGACTTTCGTCAGGACATTGTGCTGGGTGATGTTGGGCGGTGCGGCTTTTGTGTCGTTTCGTCCCATTATTTCTTTATTTTTGTTCTTCCCCTTATCGTAGCCTGCGTGGCTATTGCATAGTTTGTGGGCAATCAGTACCAGAAACGCACAGCGATCGCGGCAAAACAAAAGGGGGCACGACACCGGACGAAAAGGGGTAGCAAAAGGCTAAACGGGGATGTGCCCACCAAACTTCCCATTGGCTCGCAACAGCACCTCAAAGTAACTGACTCCGCAGCCAGCAATGCTGCGAGACTCGTTTTCTCCGAGATCTGGAATAGAAGAACAAGAAAGGTACAAGAAGGAAAAAAGAAAGGCAGCAATATGAGACTGGCTGAGAGAGTCCCAGAATGAGGCTGAGTATCTTACCTGCTTGTTGTTTCGTGGACAAAACGCCGAGATCTGTGTCAGTTATGCGTGCACCTTGCACCAGCGGGTAACTTGCGACGAACGAGGCAGTGTTTTGCTTGTCTTCAAAGGAAACGGAGCACATTTCGTCGTCTAAGTTCTGTACAGACACATTATCAGTGTCATGCAAGTATCGGGACGTTCGATCCACCGTCACGCCGCCCAAAGCAAACGTCATGCCCACCGATTTGCAAAACACAAAGATTGTCAACTTTTGCCTTTACCTTCGCCCTTTGCGACCAGAACAAGGGGTGCCATGCGAGGGATCCTCCTGAAAACACAGGAAACTTTTCGCATGGGGGACCTGTTTCTGCTGGTGTCCTGCAAGGTATTACGACATATGTGTGCAGCCGGTTAAAGCTGGCCAGAAGCAGCGGCACGCTCTCTGTGCCCCTGGGATCCTTGGCAGCTTTTCTTCCTGTTTAGGACTAGCACCAAACAAGCGGCCTGCAGTCCCCTGCACTAGGCGGACGTGTGGGAAGCCAGCTGACCTTTGCCACACAGTCACGTCAAGGCATGAAGGCGCGGTACAACGAACAGCAATCGACGGACCGTCGAACAACAGGTTCCTCGTCAGTTGAGCATCCGATCCGCGAGGACGACTCTGTCCGGTCTTTTTGTCTAGCCATTCGCAATGCGGTTCACCGGCCTCGTCGGTATTCGCTTTCTCCCTGTCTGCTCCGCGACGAGTCACGTATGAATTCGCATGCTTTTTCGTCTTCTCCACTTGATGGGCACACTCGGGCAAGACAGAGTTCTGGTCGAATGGTGGATTGGCAGGCGGCGCCTGAACTTGCCCAGCACAGAGTGATGGCGAGACACGAAAAAACCGTTTGACAGTACACCGTACACAAAGAGACGAAGTAGAGTAAATGGGCGAATGTTTTGGAGCGCCTAGTCATTCTGGCTCCTTATCCTGTTCTTTTATCCGTGTGCAGGACGCCGAGTCAGGGTCCAGTGTATCTATGATGCGACCACCGAGACAACAGACTGAGATCGCCAGCCCAAAGGGAGATCAGAGAGATGTTGGCGCCAAAAAGGGAAAGGCAAAAGGCGAAAAGGCGGGCCAGGGGTGCTTGTGGTATGTGACACTTCGTAGTCTCGCCGGCCATTTTGTTTCATGGATTTTGTGTTTCGCAGTGCCTTTGCAGGTTTCTTCTTCGTGTGCCTCTCGTGCTTCTGATTTCCTTGTGTCTCTTTGCATCCGCGCCTTGTATCGTCTCATGCACGCCTCTGCTTGGGCTCTGGCTGGCCTTTGCTTGCCGGTTGGTGTTGCCGATGCTGCTCTTTGCATCATACCACGTCCGCATGTGTCTCGTTTCTCCCTGCATCACCAAACTCATGTTAGAACAAGCGGTGCCCAGTTCGTCGCCGCATTTGGTTTCTTCCTTTCAATGCGTGGCCCACTGAGTCAGCCGGAGAGGGCAGTCCGCTCCGATCGCCTGACCTGTCCTGCCCTGGTCTGGCCTGGCCAGGCCCTTGTGCGAATCTGGCGGAGCACGGAGTGGTATCCTCCTTGCGAAAACGGGGGCAAAGGGGAGGGAAAGGGAAAGGGACTGGATAGGGTGGGACTTGCCCCTTCGTTGGTACCCACCATTCCTCACGCCTGACTGGTCCCTTTTTGTTCGTCTTTGTATCGCGTTCTCAATGTCCGCTTCCACCCTGCCATCGTATGTCACCCTTGTGCCCGAGTTGACTTCCAAACACTCCTGAAGGCGGAAACAGGAGCACACCGAAAGGGAAACACGGGCAACGGCTCGATGGCCGTCACGATCCGACAGCCTGAAGCGAGGGACAACGAGAATTGGGCAAGCAAACAGGTACGATGCCATGATGAGAAATGTGGAATAGGCTGGCAAAATAGATGGAGCCTCGCCGCACTGACACTGTGTGGTGGTATTTTACAGAGTTCAATGGCGAATGGGGGAGACACGAAAGTAAGTTGATGGTTGAACAAAGAAAGGATAGCGGTGCTATCAAGAGCCAATTGGAAGGGCGGTTTGACAAACATAGCACTTTGTATCTCTGAGTTGAAGCAGCAAGAGCCGACAGACGGCAGGCCGTTCCTTCTCTTTTCGACGAAAATCCTCTTGTTCACCATGGCAAGACCTAGCCGCCGGCTAGACGACGCGATATTTGGAAAGGGCAGGAGCAAGTGGGACATGAAAAAGGAGGGCACGAAGGAGCCACTGTAGTAGCTGCAGCAGTTGCAATGGATGCCGGCAAAGTGAGGTCTGTAAGATACCTGGCGTATTGACAGAATGGCCAAGTGTTATTCTACGACGCAGGTAGAAGAGAAGGTACGGACAGAATGTCTATCTGAGAGGCAGGAGCAACGGCGAAGTAAGGCAGGCACGAGCCGACGAACCCCAAATCGGAAGGAACAAACCAATCGGTCTGCGCTCCCCCTTTTCAGCTGTTTGGCTGTCAAGCTCACTACTACTTAGAGTTTCGCGCGGTGGACGATCGTCTGGATTTTTCGTCTCTGGCCCCATCTACGAAGTAAAGCAAGACACGGAAATCTCAACGCATCGAGTGGATCGCAAGCCAAAAGCCGAGTGCCGATAAATGAGAAAAAATGCGTCACGAAGAAAAACAGTCCACAGACCACACAGACCACAACACGGCTGCAACCTTACGACGTATTCAAGAGACAGTCTGAACCAAAGCGCTGGCCAATACAGAATACAGTTGTACTTGGCTTGACCTGGCCTTTTCTGGGCTTAGCCCGTCTTGTCCCTCGTCTTCTTCGCCTCGCTGTTGCCCGTTGAACCCTAGCCTCGCTCAACACTGGGGCCATGCTCTGATCGTTGTTTGTGGTTATCCCGGGCGATCCCCAAGCGTCAGAAATCATTACGTTCTTCGTCATAGCGCTGTGACCATCACAGTACAGAGGTTTGCATCAGTCAGGCTGCAGACGGAAAGGTGTGAAGGCTTGATTAGAAGTAGGAGTCGAAGGGAAAGGCAAAAACGAGGCGAGAGCAAAAATTGAGGCAGTGGCGACACGAGGGAAGGCAAAGGCAGGCTCACAACAGTGACGGCGCCATTGATTTGCTACAGGTCAGTCGTGGCATCCCACAGCTTTTGCTTTGCCGTTGCTTTTCCACTTGTTCGCAAACCCAAACACAGAAACTGGCACGACGTATTTATACTTCGTACGCCAGGCCCACAAGACACGATAAAAGTCAACACCTCGCAATGGGAGACACGAGCATGCTGTGGATGTTAATATTCACGCACGACCATTTTACTGGGCTTGTGGAGGCTGCGAGCATCAAACTGGTTAAGCCCCGTTCGTCCAAGACGACCCTGAAGTCCAACCTCAATCCTCTCCCTTTGGAGCCGTTTTGCTTTCCTTTTCGGCTTGGCCTGGTTGTTGGCCAATCGCTACACGCAAACGCTGCGTTTCTCGAAGAACATGTCGCCTAAGGATCCGGAGTTGCACCATGCCTACCTATTTGTTGTGACTGTTGGCTGTTGGTCACTCAGCGGGCGTCGGCCATCTACTTCCTCCATGACAAGCTCTAACAGCACTGCCACCTCCCGAATCAATGTCGACTCGCCAGGTCGGAAGAAGGGGGTGCAAGGAGAAAGAAAGAAAGAAAAACCTTTAAGTACGGGTGCAAGATGCCTAAGGCGGCAGGAGGGAAAGGGTGTGTGAACACGAGTCGAGACAAGACGCTTGTCGGTGGGTTCCTGCACAAGCGCGTTTTCCGGCTTTCGTTGATACAGGGCGCGAGGCGCTAACCAAACAACGTACAAAGTCGGGCCCCCCTGGCGACTTCAGACGTCTTTTTGGTGTCGTAGATGCCCCATTTGACCGTTCCTCAAGCGTGAATCCACCACAAAGGGGCAGTATCCTGCGCAGGGCCTCTTTTTTTCCCTCTCTCCATCGCCGATGAGATAAAATGCGTTTCGAAGCGCCAAGGTTGTGCACAAGCCCTGGTTCTGTTCCTTTTCGAGCTTCTGCCCAGCAAACTTTGTGGGAAAGAGAATGGGGTAAGGCGTGACGCTTGAGAGATCATGTACGCAGTAGGTATTCCCGTGCCCTGTCCCGTTGGTCTTGCACTCAACACCTGACTCCGGTCATGCCCTGCGAATACGGCGACAAAATCAGACAAGACTGAAAGACCCATGCAACATCCCCCAGAATACCCACTCCAGCGCCTTACGCGGTACACGAACTGCAATGCCGCCAGGGCTTAACTGTTGTCGGATCCTGGCTTTTCACACGCATTGATAGACCGGAGGAAACCACGCGGAAGCCACAGAATATTGTCCCAAAAACACCACGCTCCTTGCCATATCTCAATCTCAGAGTGTGGCGTTGTTTTGCTCCTTGCAAGCGACGGACAATGTCAAGAATCACGCTTTACAAGTGAACGTTGGCACCAGCAACGGCCAGAACCGGTCTCATAAGACAAACCGTTGGAAACACGCGACGGACAGGTACCGACACGTAAAAGGCCTCGGGTCTCCCTGGTTTCCGGGAAACCGAAATGACGAATGCCCTTTTCAGCTTTCGACCAGCGTGGATTGTCCCTTGCGTCACCGGCTCTATGACAATGTGCAAGTAAGATACGTCGCACTGCAAGTGCAGAAGCAGGTAGCATGGACTAAACTGCCCGATTTTGAGCAGAGCACTTGTTGTTAGTGGTGATGCATGTCTGAATATGAACGAGACACACCATTGAGCATCCCACCCCACACAAAGCAATAAAAAAGCTTCAGGATTGCCCTAAACACCCACAGCAATATCTATGGGAGAGACATATGTCCCACCTCGCTGCGGCGTCGCCATGGAATAATAATATACGGCTCTGCAGACCCGCCATGCATTTCCACTTCTCTGCAGGACAGCGCCATCCTCACTCAACCCGACCCCCTAAACCTCTGTTCGATCGGCGAGATAAAGAACACAAGAGACAAGCAGTGCTTGTCAGCTCTTGTCAGGATACACATCATGACCTTTCCTAGCCGTGAAAGGCTTGCACGCAATGCAATGTCCTGGTCTTTGCCTCTCACCTGGGAGACAAAGCGAGCTCTTATCTAGACACGCTCGGACGAGTATGTCTACGCGTCATCGAGGCGTTGATTTTGTTATGTGCTTCATCCTGCGGGTATTTGTTTGTATAATGTGCCATGCATACAGTTTGGTGTCTTGGACAACAACGCAAAGTCTTCACGAACTGGTGACAGCCTGGGCTCCACGGCATCCATCTCCGCCCATCCGCAAGTACCGGGTCATCCGAGGCAGGACGTTTCACAGCGAGGTCGGCAATGCCACGTACTGATAAGACAGGACACACGTTGTGAGAGTTTGAATTTCGATAGCATCGTGTGACGAGTTCTTCCGCCAGGCCTTCCGCATCACTGCACAGGATGGCTATCTCGAGCGACTCTTGAATGTCCGCATCGTCGACGGGAACAAATGGTGACGGCGAGGAATACAGGGAAGCGAGAGCATGGCGGAGTATATCGCAAACTAGATAATGATATTAGTGAGGACATAATCTACCGTTTATCAAGGGCTTGTTCGAAACTTATACTATTTTTGCGACGTGAATCTTATTTTGAAAAATTCGTTTATTTTATTTATTTCTTATGACAGAAAAGGGAGACATAATAATAAAAATAAAATACCTTTGTTTTCTTTCTCAGTATTATTTTTAATTTTTACCTACTTTCAAAACTAGTTTTAACCAAACCACCTAGTACTGTAAACAGAATAATTAATACTACAGACGTTAGTCGAACCAGTTCGTGAACCACAATTGTTTTACGCTCGGACATGGACACGGCAGCATCCCGCGTCGACTGCCCCCTCGCGGATCCAATGCGTTCCGGTATCGCCTGGGGGGATGCTCTTTTGTATGGGAATTCTTCAGAAGGAAAGAGCTTCGCAAGGTGCAAGCTCATCCTCACAATCGGAAGGAGCGACCGCGTCTGCTGGAAAATTGTCACGAAATAAACAACAGCTTAAAAACCTCACCTTGTTTTGACACAGCCCTGTAGCCCTGTCCTCTGACCAGCTGTCCGCCCGCCTGAAGCTGATCTTCATAGTCGTCCCCCGCCCCCCCTCTTCTCCTGGTCCCGTCCGACAATGACTGCGCTGGCATCGGGCACAGCGTCGTCCACGTCCAGTACTACATCGACACCAGTCCGTGTGGTGGCACGACGACGATTACGACGTAAAAGTAGCTCGAGTGACGACAGCGATGCCGGTGTCGCACGCCAGCTGCTGCGCGAGAGTCGACAAGCGGCGTCCTGGGCGACCAAAACAGGAGCCACGGGGCCGACGGCGTACAGCAAGACGGCATTGCACATTCGCCGTCGCCGTCTCTTAACATGGGACGAGCTGGGTAAGTCACCGTGTTGCGGTTGACAGGCTGTGTCCAATACGTTCCCATAGGCTGACTGACAAACGATTTGGTAGCGCCATGGCAGCAGTACGTGTATCTGAGATCTCTCGATGTCGACAAGCGGGTGTTTCTACGTACTGACAAGTCTGGCGAATATGAATCTAGGCCTGGAAGCGAGCGAATTCTGACAGGCTATCGGTATATTCCTTCTTCTGGAACCTCAACGACTGGCAAATGGATGTACACGGATGGACTGACACCTCCCAGAGAAGCCCACGCGTCCTACTCTACCTGCTTCTACAGCTGGACCTATCTGCACAACGAGTCTGGTGAGTCGCCTGTTGAACCGAATGTACAGTAACATCAGAACCAGCCTGACGGGTCGCCAGTCAACATTCTCTCTCATGCCTTTGGCACCGTCGCCTGTGTTGGCCTCGCCGTCACCCTCTGGCTCGACACCTGGCCCTGGACCCTGCCGTCCCTTCAGACGCGCGACGTGATGCCCAACAGCGGCAACTCGACGGCCGACAAGCTCGCTGCCACGGCCTACATGCTCGGCGTCATTGTCTGCTTCAGCTTGTCCGCCCTTTTTCACACACTCATGTGCCACAGCGCCGACTGCGCGGCCCGCGGCATGGCCATGGACATTACGGGCGTCCTTGTCCTCATGGCCGGCGCCGTCGTCCCGCTCATCCACTTTGGCCTCGCCTGCGAGCACGCCTACGTGCGCCAAGCCTTTTACGTGGCCACGGCTGTCCTCGGCACGCTCGCCGCGGCCACCACCTGGGAGGAGGGTCCGGGCCCGTGCACCTCTTCTGGCCCCGTTGCCTCCGCTACGGACAAGGGCCTCTACCGTATGCTGATTTACCCCATACGTTCCATGCTTCATTGGGCCTCCGTACAGGGCCCGGCCAACGGCCACCGCCGCGCCGCACTGTTTCTGGGCTTTGTCACTATATCGTGCGCGGGACCCCTGGTATGGATGCGACAGGCCGACCCGGCCGACTGGGCAGCACGCATCGACCTCTGGCCCGGCGTGATCGGCACGCTGCTGTGCAATGCGGTGGGATTCGTGGCGTACACGACGCATTTCCCGGAGCGCCGGTGGCCACGGCGGTTTGATCTCGTGGGCGCAAGCCACCAGCTGATGCATCTTGCCGTGCTGGCGGCGGCCGTGACGCACATAGGAGGCGTGAACCGGGCTCTGGCCTTTCGGCGCGGCGAGGGAGCAGTGTGCCGCAATGGCTGGGCAAGCTGAAGCCAAGAAGCCAAGATGGAACAGCCGGCCAAGGCACTATGGGACTATACAACGGACTACACAAAGCATATACGCCGCAGACCTTGTCAAGATGCCGACGCATATAGATTCTTGCATAACCATAAACTCAAATCGAATTCCTATTCCTCTCGTTTGTCAAGTTGCTACTTCAGGCGTCTCATCACGTCGATACTCATACTTGAGCCCCTTTTCTTTACCACCATTCCTTTCCCCTCCGCTCTGTAATGTTGCTTGTTTTTTTTCAATAATACGAAAGTAAGAGGTCGCCACTGGATAGCGCGTTATTGATGGCCGTCTCCACCTCCTCCACGGCGTGCCGGTGGCGTTCCTCGCTGGTCGGAGAGGGCCGGCCGTTCGACTAATAAGCCGCACCCTTGTCACGGCTCTCGCTGCGCAGCGTCCGCAGCTGTGCCTCAAAGGCCCGGTTGACCCACTCCCAGTACTGCGTCCATGTCTGGTGCGCGCCCACGTCCACCGTCGAGCTGCCGTCGTTGAGCGCCGCTTTGAGCCGGTCCGCCAGCAGCAGCGTCGCCCGCAGCACGCTCTTGTTGGCATCCTCCTGCTTCTCGTGCTCCTGCTTGACCGCGTTGTCCTTGAGTTTGTTCGACAGCGTCGCCCGGAACTTGTCCGCGATGCTGTTGAGGTGTCTCGTCGTCTCCTCTGGCGCAATGTACGCGAGCCGGCTGACCATGATTGTGCACATCGCCCGGATGTCGTGCTCGTCGCCCAGGCCATCAATGATGCGGTCGAACAGGCTGATGATCGATATGCGCGAAAACGCCGTCTCCATCAGCGCGTACAGCGTCTCGTACGCACCCTTGCGCACCTCAAGGCCGTCGTCGACCAGGTGCTTGAACGGGCCCATCATCACCTCGCGAACCAGCTCCGGCTTCGGCTTGGACTCCTCCATAATGTACGGCAGCAGCTCGTTGAGGTGGCCCAGGATGAGTTCCGGCTTGTTGTTGGCCGCCGAGTTAAGCGCCGTCATGGCCAGCCGCCGAATCTCCATGTCCTTGTCGCTCAGTGCCTTGTTGAGCATCGCCACGAGGTGCTCGCGCAGGAGCGTATCAAACGCCTCGCCCGTGTCCGGCAGCGCGTACCGGATCGCCTGCACCGAGATGGCTCGCAGCACCGCGGACTGGTCGCCCAGGAGACTGTGCAGCCTCGGGATGTACGTCTCGGGCGCCGTGATGGCCAGCCGGCCGATGCACTCCGCACACGCCGCCTTGTTGTTCTCCACATCGGCCATCTGCAGCAGCTTGTCCCAGATCACGGCCGTGTACTCGCTAATGTCCGTGTGGTCAATGGTGACCTGCTGGAGCACCTCTTTGATCGACTGCAGCAGGAGGTACTGTGTGGAACTGCCCGACTCCATGCCCTGCAGAATCACCGGCACGTACAGAGGCACGTTGCCCGCGCCCGCGCGGCCCAGTGCCACGGCCGCCGAGATCGACACCTTGTCGTAGTCGCTCGTGAACTGCTCGACGAACAGCTCGGGCTGAATGGGCGAGTCCTTGCCCAGCCGCAGGCCGGCCTCGCCGAGCACCGACAGCGCAAGGCTGGCCCGCACCTGGTCGGCCTTGAAGGTTTGCGTCTCCTTAATGAAGCTGTCGATCGTCACACCGGCCGAGCTGCCGCTGGCCACCAGAAGATTGCCAACCACCTTGCCAACGATGGCCGGGTCGCCGACAACACCGACATCCCGCAGCAAGCCCTTCATGAGGGGACCACCATGGCCGCTGCGGCCAATCACCGTCACGAGTTGCAGCAGGGGGTCCAAGACGGTTGCCGCCACGCTCGACTGCAGCAGGTGGCAAATGGATTCGATCACTTCGGCCGTCACAACGAGCTGCGGCTGGATCTCGACAAGAACCTTGAGAATCCGCAGCGTCGGGCTCAACAGACGCTGGTCGTTGCGCGAGATGACGGGATAGAGCGCCGTGACCAGGACGGGGATAGTGGTGTCGTCGAGCTCACCCTGGGCAGCCGGGCTCTGTATAAGGTGGCGCAGGGCGTGGATGCACGAGCTTCGGAGCGAGTGGTTAGCCTTGCCCAGCTGCGACGCCAAGTGCACTGTGACCCGGCGCGTCCACCGGCCGTCAAAGGGGACAGCCGTCGTGGCCGATGCCGCAATGACATCAATCGCCCGCACCGCTGCCAAGCGGGACGTCTCGTTGCCGAGCAGCTCAAGCAACGATTCCAATGCGATGCTGCGCTTCTCCAGGGCCAGCAGCGAAGCGCCTTCGGCACCAGTGCGTGACAGAAGCGTGCCCAGTGCCTGGATGGCCTTTGTGCGAACCTCCGTGTCGACGTTAGATGCGGTGGCCCGGTTCATGAGCACATCGTACAGCTTTTGAATCTCTGGTTTGAACTTGGCCGCCGCCGTTGACCGCGACCGGGGTGGTGTGATGGACTTGATCACCTCCTCACTGGCCGAGACGGCCTCGGCCGACAGCTTGTAGAAGCGGTCCGACACCACGGTGAGAACAGCATCCACGACACGCGCCAGGTATGGCTGCAGGACCTGGGAGCTGTGGGTGTTGGCGATGTGGCCGACGAGACGGAGCGCCGCAATGCGAAGCGTCGTCGGCGTGGCCGAGGCATTGCCACCGCCGAGTGACAGCGACGACGTAGCGGCCGAGGCTGTGGGGGACTTGACTGTCACCAGCACCAAGTCCAAGACCTGCTCAAAGTAGTCCGAGAGACCACCGCGCTGCACAGAAACAATGTCGTTGAGGAGGTTGATGGCCGCCTGCTTTGTCGGCACCTGCTTGCCCTTGAGAATCTTGGTGCAGGCAGTCACAATTGACCGGGTCTGCTCAGCGAGGTCGGCACGCGGGCCTGTCGTAGGGATAGACGGCCGGCGCTCAAGTGTCGGTGACGTAGGGCTGGTGATGGAGTTTTGCCGCAGAGGAAGGGCAGTTACGCTGCTCTGGCGCCGGCGCTTGCGGCTGAGCGGTAGCTGGGCGCCAGACTCGCTCTGTGAATCCAGGCTGTCCAGCGAGAACTCGGGGATGATGCCTTCGCCGGTCTTGCGCACCAGCAGCGACACGGCCGAAATCACCTCGAGACGGACCGTCTCCTCGCGCTCCTCGAACCGCTTGATCAACAGCGGCGCAGCATCGCGGTAGAGCACACCGTTGTCCAGCAGGTCGCCACTGCTCCGCGTCGAGATGAGGGTGTGGATCGCCTTGGCCGCACAGCGGCGCACCTTCCAGCTCGCGTCATCATCGTCATCAAATCCGGCATCGGCGTCAAACTCATCGTCCTCGTCGCCGCCAAAGTCGTCGTCCTCGTCGCCCTCGTCATCGGCGTCCTCCATGTCGTCGTCATCGCCGACGTAGTTGGGGTCGTACTTGACGTACCGCAAGCACGCCTGCATGGTTTCATCGGTGTACGGGCGCATCTGGTTGGGGCACGACGCCAAAAACGCATCCAGGGCCACGAGGGCGGCTTCGCGCACGTCGTTGAAGTCGCTCGGGTCGTTGCCATCGGAGATGGCCTCGAGCTGCTTCTCGAGCTCCTCTTCGTTCAGTGCGTGCAGGATGAATGGAATGACGGCGCCAATGTGACGGCCAAAGCGCAGGGGGATGGAGCGTGCCATGGAGCCCAGGATAGAAATGTACAGCCGCTGGGTGGCAGAGCTGGGCCTATTCAGCGCTTGCACCGTCATGGTAATAAATTTCGTCAGGGCGTCCTCGGACAGGTACACGGCGAGAATGGACGCCGCAACTACGGCGCGTTTCTTGACGGCGGAATTGCCACGATCGCCGTGCAGGACGGAGAAGACGGCCTCCTGGAGGGCCTCGACCTCGAAAACCTGCAGCATGGGACCGAAGCAACGCACGACCTCGATGAGAACGTCGACCGACTCGGCGGTCGGGTTGGCGTTGATGTCGAGAATGCTTTCCGGAGCACCACCGGACGCCTGCGAAGCAGCCACTTGGCGCTGGTGGTGGGTGTTGGTGCGGCTGCCCGTGGTGACCTTGGAGGAGGTCGGCAAGCCGATGAAGCGAGGAATCAGCACGCGGTTGATGGTCGAGTACGCGTCGATGTTGTCCTTTGTAGGGTGCTCGCCGGGGGCCGGGGCAGGGAGAGAGACCACCACTGCCTTGAGGGCCATGGCAGGGACAGTATTATCGACCGAGTTCTTGAGCCGCAGGGCTGTCAGCTTCTCCATAAGTGTCGCGATGATGGCCAGTGGCAGCCGGTGCACGAGGGGTCCGAGACTATTAGAAACTGGTTAGGCATAATCGGACACAGGAGAACACGCGTGGGCTCGCACCATTTGATTGCCAGGTTCTGCACCTCGCCATTTTGGTCGTCCAGTGCGCGAACAAGGTGGTCCACGGTCTTAGATGCCACGTTATAGTCGTTCTGCAGGATCTCGGGCCGGCCGTTCACGAGGACGAGTAGCAGATCGTTGAGCGACATGAACCGGAAATCCGGATCCGAGTCGCCCAGCTTCTGCAGCAGGCCGCTGATGGTCGAGGACGTCGCTACGTGCGGGTTGATCGTCGTCATGGTGAGAGAAAGCCTTCTCGGGGACGGCGGTACGGGACGGTAGGAGTATATGGAAGGGATCGAGAAGAGGATACGGCCGCTATGAAATTATAGCGATAGTGTGTAGAGACCGCAAAATGCCTATCTAGCCTTGAGGTCTTTCGTCAGATCCAGAATTCTGCTGGACGGTGCTGTCGGCACCTGGGGAGGCTTACCGATGCCGCCGTTTGGCGGGGGGACGTTGAAGGCCGATGCTAATCTCGTCGCTAGCAGAGGGGCAGCAAGATCGAAGCAGGTGATGATTATCTCGTGATGCTTCGAAAATGGGCGAATATGTATGAGGAAAGAAGAGAAGGTGTTGCTCGGGATTGGGAATTCGTCGACCAGAGGGCAGGTGCGAACGGTTGCTGGTCGATTTGGCAGAGGCGGAAGGAGCTGGAGTTAATGCGTGACTGTCAGCGTGCCCTGGGCGCAAG